TGTTTTACACCACGGAAAAACTTATCCTAAACCATGGTTATAAGCAATAGCTTTTCAAGAAACTTGCCTGACTAAAGCAATCAATATATAGTAATTATTACGTGGCCATTGTTTTTCCCCATGCAGGCTTGTGTCATATTAAATGAACAGAAAAGACAAAAATAAGAAAACCATTTTTTTTAAAGATTGTTTAATGAAGTTGATATAAATATTTTTTTCTAAAAGATGTTGTTATTGAACATAAATTATATCAGATTCCTTGACCGTCGCAGGACGAGACATGTTTTTTGGTGAAACATTCCAGTCTTTTCATGAATGTGTAACTAATCGGGATAGTCCACTTTGGGGGTAAACAGGAAAATAAAACTTGTAGAAAATCTTACCTAAATCACTGCTTTAGTGTTACTTATCCATACGATATATAATAAGTACAATATGATAAATATACTTTCTCAAGCTCGACATTCAGGTTATAAGAACATACATTTTGAAATTTCATTGAAGCTATCACCATTCAATAGAAAATAAATTCCAATGGAAATGCGCGAATATTTACCCGTGACGTTCCGCGCGAAATAATGTATCGTGACCAACCTTTCGTAGTAGACAAAAGGTCTGATGTAGAAGTATATAGAAGTACAGAAAAAGATTACATGGACATGCCTGTATGTGGAATTACATGAAATAAAAAGTTGAATACATAAAGAATAAAAGAAAGTAAACAGTATCATCAGAGAATGGCTAAAGATACGAATATGAAACTTGCTGAGGTGATAGAGCATCAAATGTAGATATGGTGATTGACCATTATTTTTCGTCGTTCTCACTTCCGGTCGCAAACAAAAGAGAATTCACAAATGTTAAATTTGCAACTTTTTTGTTTTTCAATAATATTCTCTGGGATTTACAGGGTTAATAGAGAGTCTTCTAGGAGTTTTATGTATGTTTTCATCTTTTTGATTGAAAAAGTTTGCAGAGATTTTTATAAAATTCACTTCCGGTTGTGTGTTTACCTGTCCTCAAAATTAGAATTTGTTCTCACAATATTGCTCGGCAACAGTAAACGACTGAAGTCTAAAACATTCAGGTCTGATAGTCAGTCATCAGTTTATTTGAATTGTGAGAAAATCTTGTATCGCCGTTACTTCCGGTCGTGACAGGAAGTGATGCAAAAAAGTGAATGGTTAATGGTTAGCTTTCTTGGATTTTCACGCTGAATTTCTTTTATCACTTTTTCAGCGTGAATTTTGTTTTTATTTTCAGAATCGGACGGAAGACCTCTCATTGCTCGCAATGAGTTTCTAGTTAAGGTCTTCCGTCTCCAACGGAAGACCTTATTGTTTTCGTTCGGTTTCTTTTTCCCTATTATTATTATTATTATTATTATTCTTACCGATTTTGTGCACGCGAGTTCTCGGTATCGTCTTGGCCGATTTTCATGAAACTTTCAGAACTGATAGGTATTGATCTGAACCTTATTGGAAATTTTATTCGTTGATGACGTCACTTTCCATCTCGAGATATTTAGGATTTTCTGATTTTTAGAGGGTCGGCTTGTCCTGGAAACTCCTCCGAAACGACTTAAGATATTGAGTCAAGATTTTCGGTGAAGGTAGGGGAAGGTTTGTAGATTTGCAGGCAGGTGTCCAAATCTCTCTAGCGCAAAAGGCGCCGAAGCTCGATAGGGCTCAAAAAATGTCTCAGAAACATCTCACAAAATTTAACACCTTTTCTTTCATATCTTCATACATGTTAAGAATTTGTTAAAACATATAGAAGAAAAGTTGTGCAGAATGATACGACCTTTCATTTGATATGAAGAAAAAGGGGCTGACCCCTCAAATTAGGGGCTCAGAGGGGCCAAAAGTCTTCCATCTTTAACTCTTTAACGATCAATAATTTGTAATACATTACTGAAGCAAAGCTGTTTATCTAAATGATTTGCAACAATATATGATAAGATTCTGATCATATGTTACGTAATAAGGGGTCAAAAGGGGCCAGAATGCTAAATCTTTGACGCTTTATATCTCGAAAAGGGAGAATATTTTGATAAGCAATACTGAACAAAAGATGGTCAGAATAATGTTCTAAACAATATGCACCCTTTCGATTTTTGTCAAACGGCCCCATTAAGGACCTGGAGGGGTGGCCCCTTAATATTTCAATTCAGCATATCTCCACAACGAAAAGAAATCTCTGAATAGTTGTTGAACAAAAAGTCTTCAAAATCAAAAGACCTTTCATTTGATATCAAGAAAAAGGGACTGACCCTTCAAATTAGGGGCTCAGAGGGGCCAAAAGTCTTCCATCTTTAACTCTTTAATGATCAATATTTTGTAATACATTACTGAAGCAAAAATGCTTATCATAACGATTTACAACAATATATGATAAGATTCTGATCATATGTTACGTAATAAGGGTCAAAAGGGGCCAGATTGCTAAATCTTTGACGCTTTATATCTCGAAAAGGGAGAATATTTTGATAAGCAATACTGAACAAAAGATGGTCAGAATAATGTTTTAAACAATATGCACCCTTTCGATTTTTGTCAAACGGCCCCATTAAGGACCTGGAGGGGTGGCCCCTAAATATTTCAATTCAGCATATCTCCACAACAAAAAGAAATCTCTGAATAGTTGTTGAACAAAAAGTCTTCAAAATCACAAGACCTTTCATTTGATATCAAGAAAAAAGGGCTGATCCCTTAAATTAGGGGCTGAGAGGGGCCAAAAGTCTTTCATATATAACTCTTTAATGATCAATATTTTGTTATAAATTATTGAAGCAAAAATGTTCATCTTAACGTTCTGCAACTAAATATTATAAAATTTTGATCATATGTTACGTAATAAGGGGCCATAAGGGGTCAGAATACTAAATCTTTGACACATTATATCTCGAGAAGGGGAAATATTTTGATAAGCAATATTGAACAAAAGATGTTCAGAATATTGTTTTAAACAATATACACCCTTTTAATTTTTGCAAGACATCCCCATTAAGGACTTGGAGGGCTGGCCCCTAAATATTGTTATTCTATATATCTCTTAAACGAAAGGAAATTTCTGAATAGTTGTTGAACAAACAGTCTTCAAAATCACAAGACCTTTCATTTGATATCAAGAAAAAGGGGCTGACTCTTCAAATTAGGGGCTCAGAGGGGCCAAAAGTCTTCCATCTTTAACTCTTTAACGATCAATAATTTGTAATACATTTCTGAAGCAAAAATGCTTATCTTAACGATTTACAACAATATATGATAAGATTCTGATGATATGTTACGTAATAAAGGGTCAAAAGGGGCCAGATTGCTAAATCTTTGACGCTTTATATCTCGAAAAGGGATAATATTTTGATAAGCAATACTGAACAAAAGATGGTCAGAATAACGTTCTAATCAATATGCACCCTTTCAATTTTTGTCAAACAGCCCCATTAAGGACTCGGAGGGTGGCCCCTAAATATTTCCTTTCAGCATATCTCCACAACGAAAAGAAATCTCTGAATAGTTGTTGAACAAAAAGTCTTCAAAATCACAAGACCTTTCATTTGATATCAAGAAAAAGGGGCTGACCCCTCAAACTAAGGGCTGAGAGGGGCAAAAAGCATGTCATCTCTAACTCTTTGATAATTGTATATAAGTCAAAAGAACTAAATCTAATTAGGGAAGTCTATATATTATTATCTTTTAACGAAGATCATAGTCAAAATCATATCTCCTCTTATCGAAAAATCGGACGGAAGACCTACTCGTTGCTCGCAACGAGATCTCATCTAGTTATTATTATTATTCTTTTTTTCTACTTTCTTCTCCGGTACTTTATTGTCCGGGAGTGTTCTCATAGAACCACTCATCCGATTGACATGAAACCTTTTTAGGGTTAATAGGCATGTTGTGTAGGTGTTCGGAACGAAGGTCATTTTGCGCGCACATGCATGCACGTGCGCGCGCGTGCAATGAGTGAAATGACTGATATACTTGATGAAGCCGTAACTTTTAAATTTCTTGAGGAATTGCTTTGAAACTCAAAATATAAAGATATATTAGTAGTCTAGACAAGATAACATGGTCAAATTAGCGTGAACTCACGCGCATGCACGTGCGCCCTTCTCTGATTGGCTGATACAAAACTATCAATAATTTCCTTATTTTTTGACAAAATACTTTGAAATTTAGAATATAAGTATATATTATAAGGTGCTACAACATGTTACATAGGAAATTTCTTGAAAACACGCGCATGTAGGTGTGCTGCAATCTGATTGGTTGAAACTTTAAATGTCTATAACTCCCTTGGTTTTCAACAAAAGAGGATGAAATTTACGACATGGATAGGCACATAGAGCTCCTACATTATGATGCTATCAAAATTGAATGCAAGGCCATGCATGCGCGTATGCTAATTCTGATTGGCTAATACTTAAATGTTACATCTCTCTTATTTTTCAATGAGATTCTTTAATATTTAACACAAATGTATGTATTGTGAGACACTATAAGAAAATTAATGTGAAAAATGTAGAAAACATGTGCAAGCACATGCGCTGAAATTTGATTGGCTAATACCCATATGGCTATATTGGAGTAGTTTTCCATTGAAATACCCTTAAAAATAAAGTGCCCATCTATATTACAAAAGAATTGTCTAATATATTGAAGCTTGTAGGGAATGGGGCATCATAATGGATTGGGGAGCCGTTTGGGGAACAGCACCTACTGCGACACGACGGGACCTCGGTTTATACGGTCTCATCCGAAGGACCGGTCTCCACATCCCACAGTGGGATTCGAACCCGCGACGTAAGGATCAACTCCTTACTCCGCGACTCTAGAGTGAACGATCTAGCCACTGCGCCAAGAGGGCGACGGTATGTCTGTAATAGGTATTCTGAAACTTCAAAAAATCTAGGATAAATACGGAATTTACGTAAAAGTGAACACCTCTGCAAACAGTCGTCTACTAAACTCGGATAACAGAGAACAACATTCAAATTTGACATATTACTTCAGTTTATTAACTGGTTACAAAGTAGATATTTAAATTTTATTGGTCTTTTTCTGGCATTTACCAGGCATTACATGCACCAATAACATACATATTGAAAACGAAGAAAAAAACGAACTGACGCATCTACAAGTACACATTATTTTTAATAAACTTCCAAATACAATGTTTTAATTTTTCTTCTAATTAAATTTTTGCTCCTTTATTTTAATTTTGCTCTATACGATTTGACAAGAAATATACATCTAATAAAAAAGAATTTAAAAAATACTAAGTATGGGTACAAACTTGGGTAGCACTAAAATACTTGAAGATTATGGCAACTCTTTACAATGACCTTGACCTCTCCACCCCCCAGTTCTCTGCTTACATTCGGGTTCAAGCCAAACTACAAATCCACAACTTCATGCCAGAAAACGCACAAACATCAATCAGTATTACCTAAATTCAACAGCTTGTCAAGAAAATTACAAACTGTTTCTACAATACAAAAGAGAATGCATAAAGAGAAATGATAATGCTTATTGGTTAGGTATCTAAAAAGACAAAAAAAAATTCTTTCACATCTTCAGAAATTTCTTTCACCTCCTCAAATATATCAAAAACTGATTATTAATTTTACAATTCTCAGCAGTTTAAATCAGGGTATAAAAGGGTAAGGAAATGTCAAATCATTAACAACAGCATACTGACAATAATTTGCATTTGAATACCAGTTGTTTGTAAGTTAAAAGGTCAAAATAAAATTAATGAATCCATGAAAACATTTTCCTGTGGCATGGGTTTCCAGAAGATCCTGAGGGTCAGAGAGTCACAGTGAGTGGCAGATGACCTCTAATGTTTGGGGTCATCCTTGTGTCTAACGACCAGAACTGGGACATGGGCGTGGTGTAGAATGTAGTCGCTAACGCTGCCCAGGAACGTGCGACGGATCTTACCCATCCCCCTGGTCCCTGTTACAATAAGCGCAGCATTCTCATCCTTTGCCACCTGACAGATTACCTCCCCTGGACTGCCTCCAATACTCTTCACTTTCCCACCAATCTGTGAAAACAAATACATGTTTATAAACAATATCTACAGATAATACACACATATTAAGTACAATCACTGTGAATCATGAATTTTCTTGGGAAGAATGCCTCTGTTTAAATTAGATGCATTTTACCTTTTTTCTACCAATTGCCTAAACAATTAGGGTGCTGATACAACCACAGGGGCTGACAAATCCCATTGCCCGACGCCAGGGGCTAGTGAATTTTAAGGAGGGGCAAGTGGAATTTTATCAACCACTTGCCCGTGGGCAATGACTTGAAAAAATAAAATCCATATGCAAGTCATAGATTTAAAGCATTGTACAGGGGTTTGCATGATCTACTCAGTATTTGTATGCCATTATTTTAAAATAAATATATGATAATAGTTTATGCATGATGGGACAAGCACATTTTCAGGTAGGGCAAGTGAATTTTGACCATGCACTTGCCCTAGGACAAGTGCCTAAAAATTCTATTTGTCAGCCCCTGAACCACTATTGAAATAATAGTGGTTAAGAATGCATTTCAAAACCAAAACCAGTTTGCAACCATTATTGAAATAATATTCACTACTGAAATAATAGTGGTTAAGAATGCATTTCAAAACCAAAACCAGTTTGCAACCATTATTGAAATAATGTTCACTACTGAAATAATTATTTCAATAGTGGTTGAGAATGCATTTCAAAATCAAACCCATGTTGCAACCACTGTTGAAATAACGTTCACTAATGAAGTAATTATATGTTATTTCATTAGTGGCTAAGAATGCTTTTCAAAGCTAAAAACCACATTGCAGCCACTTTAAAAAATTGTTCACTTTTGAAATAATTATTTCAATAGTGGATGTTTTTAGCTCTACTGGTCAGAGACCAGAAGAGCTTATGCGATAGTAAGGTGTCCGTCGTCCGTCCGTCTGTCTGTCTGTCTGTCTGTCTGTCTGTCCGTCTGTCTGTAAACAATTTTTCAAAACGCTACTCCTCCTACAGTTTTGGTCCGATTTCAATATAACTTGGCACACAAGTAGACTACACTAAGATACATAATTTAGTGCATTGGTTTTTGATTTCGATGGACGGTGTTGTCATGGTTACTAAAAATAGAAATTTCTGTGAAATTCCTTTAAAACGCTACTCCTCCTACAGTTTTGGTCCGATTTCAGTATAACTTGGCACACAAGTAGACTACACTAAGATACATAATTTAGTGCATCGGTTTTTGATTTCGATGGACGGTGTTGCCATGGTTACTAAAAATAGAAATTTCTGTGAAATTCCTTTAAAACGCTACTCCTCCTACAGTTTTGGTCCGATTTCAATATAACTTGGCACACAAGTACACTACACTAAGATACATAATTTAGTGCATCAGTTTTTGATTTCGATGGACGGTGTTGCCATGGTTACTAAAAATAGAAATTTCTGTGAAATTCCTTTAAAACGTTACTCCTCCTACAGTTTTGGTCCGATTTCAATATAACTTGGCACACAAGTACACTACACTAAGATACATAATTTAGTGCATCAGTTTTTGATTTCGGTGGACGGTGTTGCCATGGTTACTAAAAATAGAAATTTCTGTGAAATTCCTTTAAAACGCTACTCCTGCTACAGTTTTGGTCCGATTTCAATATAACTTGGCACACAAGTAGACTACACTAAGATACATAATTTAGTGCATCGGTTTTTGATTTCAATGGACGGTGTTGTCATGGTTACTAAAAATAGAAATTTCTGTGAAATTCCTTTAAAACATTACTCCTCCTACAGTTTTGGTCCGATTTCAATATAACTTGGCACACAAGTAGACTACACTAAGATACATAATTTAGTGCATCGGTTTTTGATTTCGATGGACGGTGTTGCCATGGTTACTAAAAATAGAAATTTCTGTGAAATTCCTTTAAAACGCTACTCCTCCTACAGTTTTGGTCCGATTTCAGTATAACTTGGCACACAAGTAGACTACACTAAGATACATAATTTAGTGCATCAGTTTTTGATTTCGATGGACGGTGTTGCCATGGTTACTAAAAATAGAAATTTCTGTGAAATTCCTTTAAAACGCTACTCCTCCTACAGTTTTGGTCCGATTTCAATATAACTTGGCACACAAGTAGACTACACTAAGATACATAATTTAGTGCATCGGTTTTTGATTTCGATGGACGGTGTTGCCATGGTTACTAAAAATAGAAATTTCTGTGAAATTCCTTTAAAACGCTACTCCTCCTACAGTTTTGGTCCGATTTCAGTATAACTTGGCACACAAGTAGACTACACTAAGATACATAATTTAGTGCATCGGTTTTTGATTTCGATGGACGGTGTTGCCATGGTTACTAAAAATAGAAATTTCTGTGAAATTCCTTTAAAACACTACTCCTGCTACAGTTTTAGTCTGCTTCTAATATAATTAGGCATACAAGAAGACTATACTAAGATACATAATTTATTGCATTGGTTTTTGAATTCGATGAACAGTGTTGCCATGGTTACTTAAAATAGAAATTTCTGTGAAATTCCTTTAAAACGTTACTCCTCCTACAATTTTGGTCTGATTTCAATCTAATTTGGCACACAGTAAGAATACACTACGATACATAATATGTATTTCTGTTTTTTTTATTTGGGTGAGTGGTGTTGTCATGGTTACCGGTACTAAAAATAGGAATTTCCGTGAAATACTTTCAAAACGCTACTACTCCTAGTTTTCATTTGATTTCAATATAACTTGTCACAAAAGTAGACTACATTAAGATACATAATTCTATTTATTGTTGCATGTTGCAATGTTTCAAATCCAAGTGCTACTTTTCTTTTGTTATACAAACAGACCAGTAGAGCTACAGTCTCATCAGAGACTTCTGGTTCAGTAGTGGTTGCAATATGTTATTGCTTTTGAAATGCATTCTCATCCACTAATGAAACAATTTGTTCCAATAATGTTTGTTATTTTCAAACTAGACGCAATGTAGCATTGTTTTTAAATACTCTCTCTACCACTTTTGAATAGTTATTTCAAAAGTAGTCCATTTCAGTAGTGGTTGCAATGAGGTGTTGTTTTTGAAATAAATTTTCAATCATTATTGTATAGCTATTTCAATAGTAGTGTTTATTTCAAAAGTGGTTATACATGTAATGCGATTTTGCTTTTGAAATGTTCTTTCAACCACTATCGAAATAATTCCATTTTATTTCAATAGTGGTCCTTATTTCAATAGTGGTTATAATCTGTTGTTTTTGAAGTGCACTCTCAACTACTATTTAATATTAAAATAATTACATTTTATTTTAATAGTGGTCATTATTTCAATAGTGGTTATAATGTGTTGTTTTTAAGTGCACTCTCAACCACTATTGCAATAATTATTTCAATTGAATAGTGGTGGTTATTTCAATAGCGGTTGCAACAGGGCAGGCCTGTGGATCTCTTCACAAAATATTTCATGAGTAAGACAAGAATTTTCCAATTCTCCAACACAAAGAAACTGGGGGGATAAGCTGAGCCATATGCCTACATAACGATCGATAAAAAATCAATAAATTCATTTTACAAAAATTTCACTTTTTGTTGAATTAATGTAATGCTTATTACCATTTGCATACAAATTTGACAAATCATGAATACTGTAACAGCGAAAATGATTCTGATTAACACAACAAAATGGCATCACGCTCAATTTTCACAGAAACTGACATAAATTGGATGATATAACTACATTTTTTAAATAGAGTGGGTCATCGTACCATTTTTTTGAGAACGATTAATGAAAGGCAATGGAATGATGTTGCTTTTTACACTTGCAAAAATTTGGTATGAAGACCCACTCTACATAAAAAATTAAGTTAACTTACTTAAATTTTCACCGTGGTCTTAAAAAATTCTAAGTTCAAAAACGCTTGCTAAATATAGAGAAATGTATGCTATTTAAAGAGACATGTTAGTGTGACTCCGTGGTCTAGTGGTTAGCGAGGAGCTCTTTAAATGGATGTTTATTGAGGAAAGTGTTCGAGTCATGCTCTGATTTTTTTGATTTTTTTTTTTCACTTTATTAAAAAAATGTCTATAGGAATAACATATTTTTCACTGGAAATAAAAGATATACATGTAGTAATGAACTTATTTACAGTAAATCATTTAAAATGCCGGATAAAAATTATAATAGATATTTGAATACTTTTATTCCCGTTTTTATTTATTTTAAATAAAAGCGCTTCTAGATCACCATTATCATTATATACGATGTTAACATTTTTATAATATCTCCACAATAAGAGTAAACACTCAATATGCAGATTAATTATTAAATAGAAGTCCTTACCCATGTAAGACATATGTGACAGTAAATGAAAGTCAACTGTTTAGCTTGTTTATAATGTAAATATCATTTTGAAAACTACGGTAAACATTAAAATGCTTAAGTAAATTCGAACAATTGAGAGATTTTTTCCAATAAATGTTCTTGCATAGCCGAAAAATGGGCATGGGCACACGGCTCGTCTTATTCCCCCAGATTCTTTACGATATAGAAAGGTAAAAAAAAATCTTTTTCTATTGCAATAGAATATGTGCTGAATATTTAATTCTGTAGAGAAAATTAGTATATTAAACAAAAAACTTCAGAGTTGTCAATTTTTTCCCTTTTTCTTAAGACTTTTTGTGGAAACAACCACTGATTCAGGTGTCTATTTTCTGTCTTGTTCAAGACAATAAGTATTTTCTTTCAGCATACATTTGTGAACATGCTGTAGTTAACCATCAAATAAACCTCCTGTTACATCTGTATAATAACTAGTGCTCAGCAAACAAGGTTTTAAAAATCTGACCATTCAAAAAATTATGTTCACATATCATACAATACTTTTATTTAAATTTGAAACATTCATGAAAATTGAGAGAGGGAGGGAGGGAGAGAGAAAACCTCTAGTATTTTGCTTTGTATATTCATTCTGTCAAACTTGTCCCTGAGGTGTAACATTCTGTTGTTTTTTTTTTTGTTTTCTTTTGTACATTCACCAATTCAAGCATCCAACCTCTTCATAATACTGACAGGAGGAATGTTTATTTATAATTGAGGAAAAATACTGAACTACGAGCATGGTAACTCACCTTTCATACCTACACTGAAGCAAATAAACAATATCTCATATTCTTTTGTGGAAAAATAAGTGTACATGCAGGTGGACAATCCATGGACCACAAGGAAATTTCTACTTATTATAAGTTTTTCTTCTACTTTCTAATCCTGTCTACTTGCATCTTCCTTACTTTCAATGGTGTCTACTTATTTTTTTGTCTCCTTAAGTTCTAATGGTGTCTACTAATGTTTCTCTTCTTTAATTCTAATAGTGACTACATATGTTTGCCTTCTCTAGTTCTGATTATGTCTACTTATGTCTTCTTTAGTTTTGACTGTGTCTACTTATGTTTGTCTTCTTTAGTTCTAATTGTATCTACTTATGTTTTGTGTTCTTTAGTTCTGTGTCTACTTATGTTTGTCTTCCTTAGTTCTGATTGTGTCCACTTATGCTTTGTGTTCTTTAGCTCTCATTATGTCTACTGTGTCTTCTTTTAGTTCTGACTGTGTCTACTTATGTTTGTTTTTCTCCAGTCATGCTACTTGAACAGATTTTAAAAAAAAAAAAAAAAAACTACCTGGACCATTCAAATGATTTGGCTTGCCAGTCTGGATGACAATTTAAACTTCATCTGTAAAAACAATCTGGACTGACATCTTGAACTCTGCCAGTCTAAATGCTTATCAGTTTTCAGAATATTTTGACTACATCACACCATAGCTCTTAGATGCTCTATAACTTCATTCAAATCAGGGTACATTTTTTTTGTTTTTTTTTTATTATTGTTTAACACTTCCTAATGGTTACATTGTCTAGTTTTGTATCTTCTATTTCGGATTCAATTTCATACATGTGCTCAGCATGATTTTACCAACAATTCATAATTTTCCTACACTTTTCCCAGTGAAAACTTACCCCATGGTCCTTCATCTGCTGACCTAGTTTCTCCAACAGTTCCTTGATTCTTTTTTCTTCCTCCTTCCACATGTCAGTCAACACGGTAACATCTGCCATCACCATAGCTACAAACAAGAAAACATGTCAGTCAACACAGTAACATCTGCCATCACCATATCTACAAACAAGTAAACATGTCAATCAACACAGTAACATCTGCCATCACCATAGCTACAAACAAGTAAACATGTCAATCAACACAGTAACATCTGCCATCACCATATCTACAAACAAGTAAACATGTCAATCAACATGGTAACATCTGTCATTACCATAGCTACAAACAAGAAAATGTGTCAATCAACACGGTAACATCTGCCATTTCCATAGCTACAAAACAAGTAAACATTTCAGTCAACACAGTAACATCTGCCATCACCATATCTACAAACAAGTAAACATGTCAATCAACATGGTAACATCTGTCATTACCATAGCTACAAACAAGAAAATGTGTCAACACAGTAACATCTGCTATCACCATAGCTACAAACAAGAAATTGTGTCAGTCAACACAGTAACATCTGCCATCACCATATCTACAACACCATAGCAATAAACACAAAAAACAAGTCAGTTAACACAGTCAAATTTGCCATCACCATAGCTACACTCAAGAGTTAGCTGCTCTACTGCCAAGCCCAGTATTACCATTGTGAAAAGCAATTTATATTATATATGAGAAATATTTCATTCTGCTCATCTAAATTCATTGATGGTATACAAATATATATATTGGTATGACAAAATGTCCAGTTTCTTAGAGCAATGCCAAGATTCATTTACTTTTGAAACACAAAGTTACAAGTTAAAGGCATGAATGATTGGTAGCAACAATTTGGGTTAAAATATTTTAATAGATTTACAAAACAAAACTTTGTTAAAAAGAAGTCCTTAAACAGGAAAATTCTTGAACACATTAAAAAGGGGTGAACTATCTCGTGTTACAAAAACTCATGTGATGCTTAGCCTTATTAAAGAAAACATATAGAATGATCTTATTGTTGTGTGCTTACACAGCGCATACCATACAAACTGTTTACAACTTTACACTTCAGTGACTTCACTTAACATTGTTAATGTGCATTACACTGCTGTGAGTGAGTGCCAAGCCGTCTATGACAGAATGCATTAAAAACAGGAGCAGAATACAAAAAAAAAACAAACAATGTGGTGTATAAACAGGCTGTGTACTGTTAAGTTTTATTTCCTAAATGCATATATTCAAATGCCATGCAAAACAAAATTCAATTTACAATCAAATCTGAACATTTTTCATGTCATTCATGTCAGAGAAGAGAAAAATGTGAAAATTACAATCCGTGAAATTAATCCCCCATACATTAATCAATATTTTAGACCCTATTAATAAATCCTTGATAAATCATAAAGCAAATAAATGTCCATGAAAGATGTTATTTTTGACAACCATAAAATGTGCCCTAAATTACAGAACAAGGTTTTAAAAATGTGTCATTTGTACCACACTTTCATTACATTCATCAAAGATCTATGAATCCAAATTGGACTTAAATATTGATTCATTGACCTCTCAAGAAAAAGAAAGAGCACTTTTAACTGTTATCAATAGAGTAGAAACAAAAACTCTAGACTGTTGTTATACTGGAGTTATAAACAAATAAAGTTAGGCTCTCCTCATCCTTCTGTGGGACAGTAGTTATGATCTAACAAATAATTCTGAGTAGGAATACCTATATTGCTGTGACACACATAGATATCATTGTGTACACACATTTTCTAGGGTCAATCCCCATCTATCTCGAGCACTCGATGTTGGAGGACTGGAGTGTTATTATAGTAAAACTTATAATGAACTCCACCATAAAATATTCCAGATTATAAAACTACATTTCAAAATTTCTTGGAAATTGTATTACGACAGGAAATGAATGGTTATCTACAACTTTTTTTGGTCACATTAAGGAAGTAAAAATTGTTTCATTCATAATTTGATTACTTTAAGATAATGTCTACAAAATTAATATGCAATGCTAACCCTTTCATTATATGGATCCTAACATTAACTTTTAACACTCAGACCTAATTAACAAAATATCACTTCTGACATATATAAATTACAATATTGGCATTATTTCCTGGAATTGCACTAAAAACACCAAGTAAATGGTAAAATGCAATAATCCTGTCTTAATTATTTGGGGGAAAAAGCAAATGATGGATCTACTTACATGAATTTAAAATTTATTAATCTTTTAAAAAAGAATTTTTAAAGATATCTTAGGTTTATGCCAGTAATTTTTAACATAATAATCAGTATTGCATAATTAGTCATAAATGGGGCCAATATCGATTCTATATCATTATAAATCTCTAAGGAGCTCGGCATATTCTCACTCAACAATTAAAATGGAGCTGTCCTCTGTCAAACCAGGTATGCTTCCTTTAATATTTTCTACATAAAAAGGATGAGCATACTAGATTTATGTTGATCCATTAGAACACCTTCAATTATTTTCTACGTAAACTGCATTGCAGCATTATAATAATAAAACAGTCTTTACAGATTTCTACTTTAAGTGTTTGCCGTTACTAAAACACTAAATGCACTGTGTTTCCCTACATCTAACTACTTATACATAATGAAGTGTTCTCTTGTACCAGGTGCTGTGTAGACAGTGGGCTTAACAGAATCATATTCTAATGACTACTGGATCTGTTCTTGAATGTAATTTCACATTCTATGCATGTGTTCCACTGCATTTAATCATTAGCATGATTATGTCTGTATTTCTATATAACCCCCAATTGAAGTATGTATTTCCACACAGAAACTGCATATTATTAGCTGACTTGAGTTCTGTTCAATTTGTTGCAATAAAGGAAGGATGATGAGGTAAGAATAGACATTCACTGATACAAGTATTCAAGGTCGGTAGGAACCAAAAAGAAAGGACAGGGAAGGCTTTATACATAGATGTATACTTTATTACACCTTTAGTACACCTACTATCATATGTGTATATCTATTTTGTATACATTTCAGATAAGATAAAGCTAGCCTGTACAGACAAATGGAGACCTATGCAATATCATCCTGACATTTTAAGAGGACCATACCTTGTTGTGACGATGTCATGCCTATACTTTAATTTTTAGGGAAAAAATTATGTAATAGCATCACAGTTATTTTCCATGATGGCAGCTATATTTTTTTTTTCAAGACAGGAAAACAAATTTATGCATCTGTCTGTACTAGCAACTGATGAATAGAATTGACTTTTTGCGTGCCTATCCCTATTATAAATGTCATCACAACATTGTAATGGCACAGATTTAATTGTGACGATGCATTCAAAATATTTATTACTATCTAATCTTTATCTCCAAATAAATTCTGCAAGGCTGCACTTTCCATTCAGTAAATTGTAAGGAATTACATATAAATTACAAGTATTAACGACACAGAAATCTTGATGTGTTTCACTCATGTCATCCATAGCTGAATACATACATACACACATACATGTATACATGTACACATTTTTGGTTTCCACCTGTCCATGTCCGTGTTTATGTGACCAACCCATTTCATTCCACAGAGAAGATTTTTTTGTTGTTTTTTCTAATCTATATCATTGTATACTATACATATTACAAACAGCTTCTTATGTCTGCTATTTATTTTAATAGCACTCCAACTATTTCTAAGTGTATTCATGTAAACTGTAATTATACGACCATTTAAATTATCTGGGTTATTCATTGGTGAACATGGCAATTCATGCATGAACTGCTTCATTATTTATATAAATTTCCATCTGCCCCAATGTATATATACATCTGTTACTGTACACATATCTATGTTGTGTCCCAAGTGTGACCACAATTGACAAATATATTAATAAATCTATTCTATTCTACATCTTTATAAACCTAAAAACTATCAGTTGTTTCTTGATACTTGTATGCAGGAAGCTAAAACAAAAATTTCCTGGTCAAGTTTTTACAATCTCTATTTGTGCGGAGTTGTTTTTCAAAGCTCTATAAAAATGAGTACTGTACTTTAAAATAAATATACAGTCTAATGCACAATGAAATAACACTTACAAAGCATTGGGTTGTATGCATCTATGATATATGTTTGATAATATCTTCCACAATGAATACAACAATGTTTATGTTATATTTAGAGTACGAGTTTCCTACTGTATCGGAGATACAGGGCGGGGCTTAAGGCGAGAGCGATAGCTCGAGCCGGGCCCTGTATCTCCGATACAGTAGGAAACGAGTATTCTAAATGACTTGTGACATGACCTTTCTTATGACCTCGCTAATTTACATGTGTATTTGGGTATAAATCTCTCAATCAATCAGATGATTTTTTCAGAAAGATGATTTAGTACCCCATTTTTATCAGTCGCAACTGAAATGCCGAGTGAGGTGGACGTGCAGGTATCTATCAATTTAAATAGTTATAATTATGAGATGCATTATATAATGTGTTTTCCCAAAATTTAATTTATTTTGATTGCGTAGGTTTTTTCCTTTCTATTTAGCTCTTGCTGACTTCTTTTTAAATCTAAGCTTAGCCTACGAATTTAGTGCAAAACATTTTGATACATAAGAATCATATATTGGGAATGTATTTGAAGCAAAAATGTTTCGGGGAGGTTGTATTCTGAGAGAAATGTCCGACAATGTTATCGACCGGTCGTCATACATGTGTATACAAATACTTGGCTCCAAATTGAAATAAACAGATGTAAGAAAGGGGGCATATTACCTTCATGTTTGAAACAAAATGTAGAGGAACCAAGGCATATCCAGCACTCACTCGCGAGCGTCGGTACCCCCCCCCCCCCCCTTTTCATTTTTTTTTTCATTTTTGGCTTTCGAAAATTATGTTTGCTAAACTTGTGTACACTTTTAATTTATCAACACGAAACGATCACGCACATATAGTGTCAGGCCTGATTATGAATCTACCCCCCCCCCTCCCCCCACGAAACTCCCGATTTTCCAGTTTGGACATTTTTTTTTCGATGAAAACCATTTGTGTACTGCCCCCACTCCCTCCTTTCTAAAATTTTTGAATCCGCCACTGGTAACTTTACATTGTAAAATTCTATTCTTAATTCATCTCAAATTTTGAATAAATACTAACAGCGCTATCTTGCGATTTGATTGATTCTTATGTCTATATTATTTAAGATACGGATTCAGTTTTCCGTCATCGCTAAAAATAAACCGTACTGTATCGTTGATATTTTTCAGATACAGTACAGTTTCTGCTCATTTGCATAAGAAACACCCACTAAAAGTGTTCTGTATCGCAGTTAAGGTACGGCTGACTTCAAAGGAAAACTCGCCGGGTCATGTCACAACTCTTCTTATTGGAAATTCACGTTCATTAATGGACAAAAACTTGTGCATTTTAGTATCTTACATAAACTAAATCAATTTTATGACAAAAAAGCACTGAAGCTTGAAATATCCATGGAAGTCCAAGGAAATAGTAATAACCATAAATATTTTTTTATGCAATTGTTAATGGGTCCTATATCAGCAAATCATAAACCTGGAAATTTTTTCGATTTGATTTTGCAAATTTTGCTCAAAATGCTATATATATTTACTTTTACATTTCTTAATATATATTATGTTTCTTAATATATTTTTACGTTTCGTAATATATATCATTAATATATCTTGCTTTTCCTCTGTCATCTATGCTTGTTAGTTTTGATTATTACCTAACCTACTATATAAATTGTAATTAGGCATTTTGAACTGTTTCCTGATTCTTTTTAATGTTTTTGCAAATCATGAAACAGTCAAAACTGTTTACCCGGTCACAGAATGAACTGTTGCATGGCTGAACTGTTCCATTATGACGTCATAGTTAATTTCCCATACTTTACAGCTATAATATTGAATTATATATAAATTGAAGCAATTTCATTCAATTTGAAATTATCATCTGAAAAGTAAACCTGATACCAATTTAAATATATATTCAATTTAATATCATTTCAAAGAAGAGGCCATGAACACCTTTTCTGAGGGTAGTTTGGGAAAAATGTAGGCCCCTTTCATTCAGTATAGATCTTTGCCATAAACGTGCAATATTCAAATTTTTAAGACATCATTATGTTGTTTACTACATGTTTTTTTTTTTTTTTTCATTTATTAGTGCATGATAATATCACACCCATTAATTTTTCTGATTTTACACCAATCGGTGTGAATATTTGATTAATATTCAACTTGTTTAGTTTGGTTTTAAAAAATAATACAAACTTTTGTCAATGTATTTTAAAAGCCATTGATTATTATGTCGATATCATTACTTTAAGAAATTATATAGTAGGTTAGGTAATAAAACACTTATTTCATGACAACTCGGGGAACAGTCAAGTGTATACTGCAAATGTGAACTTAAATTTTTTGTCGATTCAGTACACGCAGCGCTAAAGTAGAGAGGATAAATCAGTAGCTGTCCCAGGTAATTTTGGGCTGCAAACAATTGATTAGTTTGAAATACTGAATGGGTGCATCGGTCAAATGTTTGACAATTAAAGTCTCCTTGTCTCAACATTACTGTCATTATTGTATGTGCAAGGATAAAATCATGTAAAGAAGCACTTCAATGAAATTCATAGACTAAGAATAAAAATATTTCAGTTTAATTATTTCAGTTTACATTAGATCAAAATTTCCTTGTTAAAAAGCTTAAATAATAAGAGTTTCATATTTCTTGTGGATATAATTTAAAACAAAATATGTTTACGAATGGATTGCTATTAATCTATTGTCAAAAGTAAAAATTTCCAGATTTACAGCAGTGCTGGTATACAATATACATGATGTACCAGGGATTTATCAGTACCTTCTCAGGGGCCGAAATTCGGCCCCATTCCCAATTGAAAATGAGTTCATTTTTTCCCAATTTGGCAGTATTTTTTCCCAATTGGTTAACAATGCTTTCATATTTAATTATCTTGGAAAAACACAAAGTGAAATTGTCAGATTGTCTGTAATTTTCATCTACTTAACTCATTTAGCAAAGCTACAGTCGTAACACGTTTAAAAACACTGTAAAAACATCGCCAACTTTTTATCCGAATTTCCTCTGTTTTTCCGAAAATGGTGATATTGTGTAATTATATAGATTTATTAAGTTATTTCCACCTACTCAATTGATCTACGAATGAATGATAAGAACTGCATTCATTATTTTGCTAGAAAAATATATTTTCAATGCATTAATACATATTAAAAGAGGACTTTGAGAAAATGTGTACTTAATTTTTTGCAAGAGGTTTATAATCTCAGACACATATTCTATAATGACCTAAATTGGAATCTCATACACAAATGTACTACCCTACATTATATTTTAAATATTTTATACTCATTGAAGTCAATTTTACTTTTATTAATCTATTATTCATAATTGATCTTGTATGATAAATTTGGATCATATTTAATTGTCTGTTTGTTTGCTCAAATTAAAGTTCATGCTGAAATGTTAAATGAATTACTCCTGAATACATGATTTAAACAACACTTTTAATTTTTCCCAATTTCATCAAACAGCCAATAATATTTTCCCAATTCCCCAAAAATGGCGTTTCCCAAAATAGGCTGATAAATCCCTGTGTACAATGTAAATGCTGTAAACGCTGTTTGAAATGAGTACAATATAGAGATAACTAACAGGAAACATAAAGAATAGTAAACTTACGTGATTGGACAACCGTGTGGTACTCAGGACAGTGAACAAAGATCACATGATCCCCCTTATGGTAGGCATTCTTCATGTACCCTACAAAACACATTACTGTACAGTCAATATCATAAGGCAATCCATCACTAATATTCCTCTCATCTGTGCTTAGCAAATAAAAAACAAGGATACTCTGTGCCAAATTTGGTTGAAATTGGCCAAGTGGTTCTGGAGAATAAATGAAATTGTAAAAAGTTTATGATGATTGCAATGACAGAAAAATTTTGATCTGAAAAGCTCACTTGAGCTAAAGGCTCGGGTGAGCTAAAAATCATCTTTCTCATTCAGCAAGCTATAACATCCCTCAACAGCAGCAAGTAAGCCATCATTTGCTGCTAGGTATAAATATAAGGGGTTTGAAACTCTATGCAATTTGTATGTAATTATACCTTTAATATATCTATACTTTCATGTCTGTGTCAGCAAGTGTTCATGTAAATTAGATAAAAGGGGTATATTATGTAGCACATCTGGCCCTTGTGGGCATAAATGCCTGCACACAGATGTACATATCCCACCCCGACCCAAACCCCCTAGAATTCTGTGCAACTCAAGGCCATCCGATGGAGGGGTGTGCGATTACAACTCTACCTTTTAGTAAATCTCAGACAGGTTATTTTTGAAACACAATAAATTCATAAGTCATCTCTTAAAGATTATCTTATTTACACTCCCGTTTATAGTAAGTTAGAGTTATCTCTCTTTGGATTATTTAGCGGTGTTGTCAAAAAAAGGGGGATTATTTAGTTTTGCAGGTGAAAACGATGACATGCTGTAAGTCATTATGAGTAGGGTGAGAGGTCATTTTTGCAGGTGTGACCCACCGAATGCAGGTCACTTGGCAGGTATGCCTGCCCAAGTAACAAACTGATTTCAGGGCAAAAAATATTTTTTATCCTGCTGATTATCACCATTAATCAATAAATGTGACCTAGCAGTCAACACAAAACACCAACCACAATCTAGCTATTTTCTCATTCATTTTCTAAAAATATCTTCATTGATTCCACAGCAGATGCTTGTAGGGACTTTTATCTCTCCTAACGAGCCCATGTTCAGTTAAATAATCAATAGCTTTGATTCCAGTTGTCAATAACAAATATTCATCAAGGAAAAACACATGAAATTTTGGGTAAATCTATTGAAATTTAATGCCAGAGCTCTCTATTAAACATTTGAACCCCCCCCCCCCCCAAGGTGCAGGTTTATGCCTCAGGGTTGGGGCTTAGTTTGAAAATGCTTTAGGAAGCACGTTGTGTCCTTATGACTAGCCAGCCCCCAACTCCTTTACCCACAGAATTTAATCTTCACATTAATGATATTAATATATGTGTCAAGAATGGAATTTTCTCTACATCTTAAGCATACTAAAGAAATTGATTTTTTTTTTTTTTTTTTTTTGAGGAGGAGGAGGAGGAGAGTTTTTTTTTTAACCAGATGATGCACACATCAAAACTGACACAACTTGCATCATGTGAGGGATTTTCTTTAATTTGTGTCAACCCATACTATGTAGTTGTACAAGCCACCCTCTCAAAAGGTTATCCACCGCTTGGATCAAATAGGGTAAGTCAGGGTAATTTCGACCACCGTTTAATTTCGACCACAGGAACACAACACTACACAAAGATCTACGGAAGCGTTGAGACATGTTTAATTTATTCGGAATTATAGAAAACTATTCTTCAAATTGTGTGTCCTAGTGTAATTATTCATCGCAAATATGCCTCGATCAGTGATATAAATAATATTTTTACTATTATTTATGTCTCCAGTTTGACGTTTTAAGTTCCCGTCTTTAGTGCGCTTGATTTATCAAGGAAATGCAAGAGAGACAACTCGTACAACCTCTTTTTAAGTTTAACCTCGTTCAACTGTCTACAGCACGAATTAAATTAAAATTGTTTTATTTTTCCTTGGAATATCTTTAAGTTGCAGAATTGTACAAATTTATCTTGGATTTCTCTCAAAATGCACAAGAAACGTCCATTTGATTTTGGTCGAAATTACCCCTACTGATTTTAAGGACGCGGGGTAAATTCGACCACTTATTCTGAAATATGTGTAAGTTGTCTTTAACAGCTGGTTAATGCAATGCAGAGTTAGATCTTCAACAACAACCAAAAAAAATGATTATACTGTATATGTACAATATTATCTACATATAACCTTTTATATTAAAAAAATATGTCAGATTAACATATGCATGCCTAGCTATATACTAGTATATTGTCCGGGCTGTTCACGAGGGTGCATCACTGATCGACGTGCGAGAGAACACGGAGTCGGCACTGGCTATGAAATAACACATGAGAGCAATCCAAAAGTTTCCAAACCCGTCAAATTAACAAGAGAGGATGCAGGCAATATTAAATGTATGTAAAAAAAAAAAAAAAAAAAAAAAAAAAAGAAGGTTTTTGTAAATTTTTTCATCATTACGAATGCCTAAACTTTGACGGATAGGACTGGGGCTATCGAAAAACCAACGAACCAGTCGTATTAAGATCGTATCACCCAGTCCAGGTACATAAATCCAAATAGTACCCAAAATATCAGAACAACGCACCAAAAGAGCCACAACAATCTTGAAAAAAACTATGATGTTATACATTATTAATGATTTGATTGAGTTTTTTTCGGGGGGGGGGGGGGAGGAGGATTTTCCGAGAACTTTGCTTCTGTAAATCATTATTTAATTGACTTGATCGAATTTCTCAGGATCTATCTCTTTTAAGAATTAAAAAAAAACACGTACAATACGTAATATAACGCATTCCAAATGAATGTGTAAATGGTAAAAATTAGTGAAGGAAAATATATGCAATTCTAATGCTATGCTCAAACCTTATACATATATATATACAATCTGTATGATTCTGTTGTGAAAAGACGATATTAAATAAAATCACTTTAAGGTAGGACATATTAAAAATTATATCAAAGAAATTATTTGTGGAATCTGAGAAAATTTTATCTATTTGCATAACTATATATATCACAATTTTAGAATATAGAGTTGGCGAATTAAAAGCAGAATTTAGAATTAAGAATAAGAATTAAGATGTCTATAATTATAAGACAGCATTGAAAAGCTTAAGTACTGTAACCCAACCCGTTTCTTTACTGTATGGATACTAGTACTTATCCATTTTAATCTTTTTATTGAGAGAGATAGCTAGATAGATACAGGTATTTTCTAAATAAGGCAATAGTTTCTCGGACCATAAATTTTGAATAAAACGCGACAGGTAAAGTTTACTTGCATTGCAAGAGTTATCTTTCTTTTTGATGTTTGTTGTGGTCGAAATTACCCCGAGGCCGGTCGAAATTAACCCATGCAACATACTTACTTATTTTTAAACCAAATCATTATTTTTTATGCATTTTTAACTCCTAAAGCAGAAAAATATGTTGAAAAAATCGATCTCAATTACTTTGAATCTTTTTTAAACTAGTACATTTGAAAACAGTCGTGTTTTGTGGATTGAAAGCCACAAATCAGCATTAGTGGTCGAAATTACCCCACTCTACCCTAGAGAGGAATGACCAAATAATTTAATTTCGTTCATGGACCATGTGGACTGGGAAATCAAATTTTCTCACAATCATCCAAATGATTACTATCCCTCTCTCTGCAAGTGTGACAGTCATAAATAATTGAGGACTGGAGAGCCAGTCCACGATCAACACGACTAAAATATGCTTACAGAGATGTGGGTCAATAACTTTAAACTGAAATCTGGATAACCAAGGGTTAGAATACGCACGTATGCAGCTCTCAATTATTCACAGTCACGCATGACCGATTTCATAACGAAAGCTAATCTTTCAGTATCGCAAATTAAACACCGTTTTTCATATATATATATTAATACCCTAAACTATTAATACAACCATGTACAAAAATTTGGTTGTAGGCCTATCGACCAACAGTCGCTTTTCTCTCAGGCACAGATTGCAGTCAAGTGCATGTTGGGCGCGAATAGAAAACATTTACACAAATAAATAACACTTACAATCAAAGGCATAATCAGAATTTTCACTTCCGTCCATTGCTACCACTACTGTTCTCTCAGATTCCGCCATAATTTCAGTTGTTTCTTAAGACGAAGAAAAAAATTGTTGGCCTAAACCCGGCTTGATCAGAACGTCGGCGAGGTTGTTTGATTACTGCTGAGTTGGAAGTTTCTCGAAATGTCCCGAATACCGACCGCCAGATGTAATCCGAATGGAGTACAAAGGTAAAGTAAGGTCATTTCACCCAATGGAATTTGTTTCTCTGTTTATCAGGTTATAATACGGAGGTTACCGCACTTACAAATTATCAATTTGAAATAAAAAAAATATTAATTAACCCTTGTTAATTTTAATAGTGCAACAAAATTTTTAGTTGGTTATCAATTTCTCTTGTAGTATATAGCGGCATAATATATTTGCTCTAATATAAATTACTATTTTCCCCCGGGAGTTGGAACCCCCTTTCTCCGGACATTTGTGTAGTTTTTCTTAAATATTCTAATGTTTAGAAAAATTCAAATTCTTACCGATTAGTTTTGATCTGATCCCCTGCCTGGACCCCCTTTCAGAAATTGCTGGATCCACCCATAACCTCGTGATGCAGTGATTCTTTCCAAACGTTAATGTGGGGGTATGTTGCAATGCTCAATATGTTGATACTATCGATCTCTTTCCACCGTCCGATGAATAATTAATTTTTTGGACCATGAGTAAATTAAATCGAATTTAAATTTATTCCGAAGAAAAAAAAGTTCATATAGGCCTACATAACGAAATATTGATGAACAGATATCGATGTCATGGCCGTAGAAATTGGGGGGGGGGGGGGTATAAAGTATTCTATAAAAATATATATAACCACTTACTGCGTTTTCAATGCCCTCCTCAGTAATGTCTGATACCACCCTTTTTTGAATTTATTTATTTATTTTCATACTTTTGCTTGCAAAGTATTTTAGAAATGTGTTTGCTTGGTAGAGCCCCTCCAACTGAAAATGTTTGGTTGTGACCCTCCCCCCTCCCCCAAATTATATTGCTTCCAACGGGCCTGACTATTGTGGAAGAACTGCAAAAAAGTGTTCGATAAATTATTCTTACCCTAATAAAATGTTTAAAAAAAACTTATTTCAATTTCTAAATGAAGATCACTTATAGCACAGATTGGAGCGCAGTATCCCTTAATTGTTAACATGGATAAGTCATGATCTGATATACATATAATTTGTATTAAAAATTATCATATTTTTTAATTACAAAATGTAAATGCTATTATCATTGTATATTATTTATATCGACTGCAGGAGCATCGTCGCAAACCACGGCCAAAATGTACGATTCTCTTCCGATCAGAGAGCTACTAGTTTAGCGGACTCCGGACCGTGGCTTGGGACGATGCCGCAGGAGCGGCTGATCTATTTATATTTTTGTTAGAAAATGCATATGTGGAAATAAGGCGTATATTTTTTTTATTATTCTTTATGATATGATTTCCAGTATGATTCTTTAAAACTAAGATTAATGAAAGAAATTTAAATTTATATAGATATATTTTTAATTTAAAAACTCTATAGTAAGTCCTTATTTTGTTATTTTGTTTTAATCTTTTTTTTTTCATCTAAATCATATGGTGGCATATTTCTGACCCCTACTTGCATTTATTAATTTATTATTTTATTTTAAAAAAAAAGGGAGAGGGGTTACAAAAAATACTCTCATCATGGGAGCAGTCAAAGTGGGGGAGGGGGGGGGGCAACTTCCCAAAAGTATCTGACAAAAACAAATTTAAAAAAATTACTGTCCAAATCCTGGAATTTGCCAGTGCTTGACCTTACAACACCAAAACGTGTGTGTGTGTGTGGTTGGGGGGGGGGGGGCAGCATTAAAGGAAAATTTACTGTAGCAAAATACTATACTCAGAAAAAAAGTGGGGGTAGGGCCCCTCCTCCCTGCGTTCTATGGGCCTGGGGAGTGTGCAAGATATGAACATCAATTCGTTATTTTTTCCGGATATTCAAATATGTAAGGTATAATTCAAAAAATGGTATGTACATGTAGGACTAGTAATTTTTTTTTAATATACTACAGCTGCGAACGGCAATTTTTTTTTTAAACACGTCACCTATATTGTAGTGTTTGGATCAAGGATAATCTCACGCATCCAGCTCGAGATTCATGATTATTTCTGATTTTCCTATGCATGAGTTCATTTATTTGACTAACAAATGCTTTTAAAATTAAACTGTATATTTTGGAATCTGTGTATTTAATATTTGATATGACAACTGTGTGTACACGTCCTACAGTTTAAAAAAATAAATAATAATAATAAAAAAAATATATCCTTTCTCTGAAATAAAAATATTTCAAATTATTTTTTTTTCTATTTTAAGTTTTCTTTGGACTCTATTTGTAAAAAATCAAATGCTTAAGAATTTTGTGACCGTTTTGATGTTTTGCATCGGTTTTGACTTGTTTGCTTACGTTACATAGACGTCTGAAGCAAATTGAAATGGGGGGGGGGGGGGTAAACGTTTGGGGGGCTAAGCCCAAATTTTCAATGCCTCTTTGCCAAAAGAAAAAATGGAAGGGGTTTAAGTCCTTAAACCGTCTAGCCTCCCACCCCCACCCCCACCGCGGTACCGGCGCCTAACTGTGTTATATGCTTTAAATTGCCATGATGTTTTTAACTATCGGGATCGGACTTCAATTTATTCGAAATCTATCAATATAAACATTACCCTGTTGCTAAAAATATCAATGAACAACATTTTAACTCGACATGTCCATATTTGGTATTGTATATTTTGCAGAAGTTGAGAAGCATGAGCTAACAATTGGTAAGGTTATGTGAAGTCAGTCTTTGCGTTTCCTTGGAGTGTTAAGCAGGATAGACTGTGTTTAACACTGTTTCTGTGCATTTCATTTGAAGGTTCAATATGGAAACAAGTTCTCGCGGCAATGTTTACGTGAAGACAAATGGACGTTGGGTGATTGCATCCGTGGGATATGACCCAGACACTGACAATGCAGTGCACGTCTTAGCGGGGAATTCCAGGGACTCTAGGGACGAACCAAATCGGCTTCAACAACACATCAATCAAAGGTAATGATTAATAAAAATGCTTATTTTGTCCAAAATAAATCTTTAAATATGAAGTTTATTGTTTAATGCTAAAATATAGCATCCCACGTATAACATTCACAATAGGGGATTGAATTTTTACACGTGAATATAGGTACTAGATAAAGAAAATCCATAAAAATAATATTTTCAAGAACACAGGTCAAACTCCAAGGTCAAAGGTCAAATTTGTTGGTACCCAAGGGAAGGGCTTGTCACAAGGAATTATACATCTGTGAAATATGAAAGCCCTAGCCAATGCCAAGGTTAAAGTTTTTCAAAAGTAGGTCAAACTTATAAGGTCAAGTTCAAAGGATCAGAATTGCCCATGGAAGATCTTGTCATAAGTATTAGACATTTGAAATATGAAAGCCCTAGCATCAACCTTTCAAAAGTTATGGTTTCAATCTCCATGGTGAAAGGGTAAAAATTAAAGCTGGTACTCAACTAACCAAAGGGAAGCTCTTGTTACAAGAAATTCATTATATAAAACCACGAACCATATAAAAGTTATGGTCATTCTGAAAGTTTTTTAAAAGTAGGTCAAACTCCAAGGTCAAGTCAAAAGTAAAAAATTGTTAGTACTAAAGGGAAGGTATTGTCACAAGGAATACCCTTATGCGATATAAAAGCCCTAGCACCAACCATTCAAAATTTTGGCCAAGTGGCCAAGGTTAAATTTTGGTAAAATTTTGCAAAAATGGGTCAAACTCCAAGGTCAAGATAAAGGGATCAAATATGTTGGTACCCAAAGAAAGGTCTTGGCACAGCGAATACACATGTAAAATACATGTATGAAAGCTGTATCTTCAACTAATGAAAAGTTATATGAACAAGGTTAAAGTTTTTGCTGACAAACAGACTAACAGACAGACAGCCAGTGGGACAGAAAGATGACAAGGCTCTCGATTGTCTATAATAGGGGCCATTCAATTAATGACCATGGGGTTAGGGATGGACCTAAACAGGGAAAAAACTTAACAAAAAGACCACCTCCAGGGGAAACAGCGAGGCTAAGTTAGTCATATTGATATTGAAGCATCTTGAGTCATAGCATGCATAGTGCTGATATAATTTTGGTTACAACATAACCCGTTGGGGGCACACTATGGGAATAAAGAAGGAAAAAATATCTTTTAAAAATCTTTTTCAAGAGCAGCACAGACAAGGTGACTCAGATAAGCATTGTGTCCAATGGTTTTTTTTTAATAGATAAATTTGTACAGTAAGTTTTCTAAATCATGAATTTAAAGATGAATATAATTATTGTGGCTTTGAAGTTTGAAAGATGTAAAACTTCATATTTGAAATGTTATATTATAAGTGAACTTTTTTCCAGAGCAGTGTATGTAAATATTGACAACAGGACATGGCATCAACCTCTGCCTATTCTGAGAAATATTCAAGGCATTGGGCGACAGGTATATATTACTGCAAATTTCCAAGAGCATGAGATCTTCCAAAATTGTCATGTTAAACATGTTTAAGTGAAACACTTGAAAATAAGAAATAGAATTTATGAACCTAATTTTAATATGTAATTTTTTGCATCCTGAATATGTATTTTTAGCTCACCTGAGCTGAAAGCTCAAGTGAGCTTTTCTGATCACCCGGTGTCTGTCGGCCGGCCGTCTGTCCGTCCGTCTGTAAACTTTTCACATTTTCGACTTCTTCTCAAGAACCACTAGGCCAATTTTAACCAAACTTGGTACAAAGTATCCTTGGGTGAAGGGAAGTATAAATTGTTAAAATAAAGGGCGAAGTCCCCTTACAAGGGGAGATAATCAAGAAAAGACAAAAATAGGGTGGGGTCATTAAAAAATCTTCTTCTCAAGAACCACTATGCCAGAAAAGCTAAAACTTATGTGGAAGCATCCTGGGATAGTGTAGATTGTAAATTGTTAAAATCATGACCCCCGGGGGTAGGGCGGGGCCACAATAGGGAATCCAATTTTTACATTGAAATATACAAGAAAAATCTTTAAAAATCTTCTTCTCAAGAACCACGGGGCCAGAAAAGCTGAAACTTAAGTGGAAGCATCCATTGTTCAAATCATGACCCCCGAGGGTAGGGCGGGACACAATAGGGAATCCAAGTTTTACATTGAAATATATAAGAAAAATCTTTAAAAATCTTCTTCTCAAGAACCACTGGGCCAGAAAAGCTGAAATTTATATGGAAGCATCCTGGGGTAGTATAGATTCTAGATTGTTCAAATCATGACCCCTGGGGGTAGGGCGGAGTCACAATAGGGAATCCAAGTTTTACATTGAAATATATAGGAAAAATCTTTTAAAATCTTCTTCTTAAGAACCACTGGGCCAGAAAAGCTGAAACTTAAGTGGAAGCATCCATTGTTCAAATCATGACCCCCGGGGGTAGGGCGGGGCCACAATAGGGAATCCAAGTTTTACATTGAAATATGCAGAAAAAATCTTAAAAAATCTTCTTTTCAAGAACCACTGGACCAATAAAGCTGAAACTTATTTGGAAGCATCCTGAGGTAGTGTAGATTCTAAATTGTTCAAATCATGACCCCCGGGGGTAGGGCGGGGCCACAATAGGTATATTAAAAGGGGGGAAATCTGGTAAAGAACAGCATGGCCAAAGCTACTCAGGTGAGCAATGTGGCCCATGGGCCTCTTGTATAATTTATAATCACTACTTTAAGGTCTGTCCTTTCTCTTTCATCAAAGTCAGACTGGAACGTTCATTTATTATACATTGCTATTACAAGTAATCATATATAACATGATGTTGACTTGAGCTGGACCATGACTTTCAAATGCTTCCTTTAATGAATATAATCTCTAAGGTTCTTAAAAATTTGTTAAATCCAAAGCTTGTTTAAATATTTCCTTGATGTTGACTTGAGTTGGACCATGACTTTCAAATGCTGTGATGGTCTTGAATGGGATAAAAATTCAAACTTTCTGTACCAATGTTCTAATAACTGCATTTTCTGATCCAGACAGGGCAGCTGTGAGTGAATCTTCTGACTGGTACATTCCCTTCCTCTTTATAAAAGAATCTTTGCCCAGAATCCTGGTCATGGCATCAATTTAAACAAGGGGAAGATAATAGACCAGAATGTTTATCTGCATTCTCTTAACCCTAAACAAATGTTTTACTAAAAAGCAATATTTTCTGACAAGCTTAAACTTATTTGACTATCTCCCATAGTTAAACATCTTTGTTACATAAGTCTTGCTTTTAATCCAAATATGTGAAACTTTTAACATTTATTTTTCAATGCTAACAGATAGCCCAAAAAAAACTTTTGGGATAATACCGAAAAATAACTTGAAACAAGAGTCCAGATAAATAGTCCTTATTTTTGGCTTTTGAATGTCTTGAAATCGTTGCTGAGTTTTCTCCTTTGAAACTCAATGAGAAAAGATTGACTTGTGGAGTGGCTTTACAAAACAAATGTATATTCTCTTAACATGTTCTTTCTAATGTATGTATGTTTATCAGGGATTTCTTTTTTGGTGTAAAACTTGTGTGTCAATTCCTTCCCAACATAAATTTCTCTTATGCTAATTTACCTTGTCATCACAAGAAAAAAAAATGGGTTCTGAAAGCAAAACAAACAAAACAATAACAAATGACCAAAAAAAAAACAGAAAATAAAAAAACAAAACAATGAAAGAATACAATACACCACCATAATCTCTGCCAAAATATGGCTGAAATATTGCTGACTCAGTTGTAAAACAACAATAATCAATCAATCTATTGCTTAAATAAAGGTTTTGCTTTGTATTAGAGTGCTGTGATATTAACGAGGTTGGATCCTGATATTTAAAGTCTTAAACTTTTTTTGTCAAGTATATTTTTAGTTTCTACACACATAGCTTAATTAAAAATCAAAACAAAAAATGGGGGTCAATATGCTTCTTTTGGCGCTACAGTACATTTAATATGACCTTTTTGCACTGAAATTTGTGTCTTAATCAAAAATCACATCTTCGATGTTTTCCCTCCAAAGTTTTTATCCATGGGACGAAATAAACTATTGGTCTATTTAAAAAAAGACACATTAAAATTGTGACTAAGAGAAAGTTTCAAATTGCTTCGCACAATCAATTATTTGACCTTTCTGCACTTACAAAATGTAATTTTTCTGGCATTAAAAATTTAACAAGCAAGAAAATTATTTTAAAGTCTTAAACTTTTGCTGAAATTAAGCAGATCGATCAAAGTTATCTTATATATTCAGAAAAGAAAAACAAAAATGGGGGTCTATGATCTAAATTTTTAGATATTATTAAAAAAGTGTTAATTTTATATTAAAATTGGCTCAATTTTTTCCTGGACTTTCAGAATATATTTACTATATTTGTCACAATATATTGAAAGAATTCATATGAAATAATTTAATGGATATTTCAGAACCTGCATAAAACATTTCACTGCAAAAAAACAGCTCTGTTTGCAACCACCATGGAAAAATAGGAATCTGAACTTAACAGCACTGTATATATTTCAAAAGGGAAGAATTGATCATTTTCTTCTAAAAACCTTCCTCCACAAAATATAGTTCCTGGCTTAATCCTACTTGAATGGAATTTAATCGTGGTTTTTTCATTGGATAAAGTTTGATTTGCATTGTAGAATCCAGATTTAATGGTAGAACTTAAAAATGATGCAGAATTTTAGAAATAAAGTTCCAGACCAAAATCTGCTCAAAAGCTCAGGATCGAACCTCCTTAAGTAATGCCAATTTGTTTCAATTTACAGAGAAAAACTAATGAGAGCATAAGCAGTGTTCTGCAGAAACTAAACTTTGAAGAATATGCTCTACAGTTCAGAGAATTTGCCTACTGTTGTGAGGTATTTCCATTGAAACAATATTTATGCATAAAGATGCAAGTACTTTTTCTATACATAGAAAAAAATGCTTTCGATTAACTAAGTCATGTTTGAGAAAGAATAAAAAGTACGCGTAACACCAGACTGTCTGCTTGTAAATTCTGAGGTTGACCTCAGTCCTTTGATTACCACTTTGACAATTTAATTTAAAAGTAGACAAGAATAATTTTTTTAATTTCAAAAATTTAAGCATGTCTTTGATTGCTATATATACGTAATAATGACCTAACTTTTAAAATCAGTTTTACAGACTACTTGTGAAGCATAAACTCCACAGAATCAGTGGGACTGTACAGAAACACGTATTTGGTATTCTGGAGCAAATGACAAACACTGGTACGGAATTCTCATGCAGTTATTTTACTTGTACAAATTTATGTAAAATAAAAACATGCTTAAAACAGTTTACATAAACACTTTACAGCACCATCAGATGCAGGGGACAAGTAATCAGCCCATTCTATTCTTCATTGATGTAATTATTATGTAAATGGAAAAAAAAACAAGTATGATTAAAAACTTTTCTCCATTAATTCAGTTTTTCAGGGCAAGCACCACAACACAACCGATATCTGTTCATCATACATACCTGCATTTCTTAATATTGTTTTGTAGTTGTTCTTGAAAACTCTAAAAATGACAACAGAAATAATTATTATTTCATATATTTCTAGCCATATCAATGGAACTGTTTATACCGCCACTGAAACACACCCTTAAGGAAGTGTTGGACTGTATGAATGATAATGAACATGCGATGATAGGAAGTAAAGCTTTGAGGAGGAAACATCATGATCTCATCAGCAACTGTCTGGTCAGGATATCAAGGTTCCAGTATACACAGGTAAGATTGTCACAACAACTGTCTGGTCAGGATATCAAGGTTCCAGTATACACAGCTAAGGTTGTTATAACATCTGTCTGGTCAGGATATCAAGGTTCAAGTATACACAGGTAAGATTGTCAACAACAACTGTCTGGTCAGGATATCAAGGTTCCAGTATAGACAGGTAAGATTGTCATAACATCTGTCTGGTCAGGATATCAAGGTTCCAGTATACACAGGTAAGATTGTCACAACAACTGTCTGGTCAGGATATCAAGGTTCCAGTATACACAGGTAAGATTGTCACAACAACTGTCTGGTCAGGATATCAAGGTTCCAGTATTCAAGGGTAAGATTGTCACAACAACTGTCTGGTCAGGATATCAAGGTTCCAGTATACACAGGCAAGATTGTCATAACATCTGTCTGGTCAGGATATCAAGGTTCCAGTATTCAAGGGTAAGATTGTCACAACATATGTCTGGTCAGGATATCAAGGTTCCAGTATACACAGGTAAGATTGTCAACAACAACTGTCTGGTCAGGATATCAAGGTTCCAGTATACACAGGTAAGGTTGTCACAACAACTGTCTGGTCAGAATATCAAGGTTCCATTATATAGAGGTAAAATTGTCAACAACAACTGTCTGGTCAGAATATCAAGGTTCCAGTATACACATGTAAAATAGTCAACAACAACTGTTTGGTCAGGATATCAAGGTTCCATTATACACAGGTAAGATTGTCACAACAATTTTCTGGTCAGAATAGCAAGGTTCTAATGTACACAGGTAAATCTCTTTTGCTTTTTAGCTCACCTGAGCTGAAAGCTCAGGTGAGCTTTTCTGACCACCAGTTGTCCATCATCTGTCCATCTGTCCGTCCTCTGTTACGTTTTCACATTTTCAACTTCTCAAGAACCACTGGGCCAATTTTAACCAAACTTGGTACAAAGCATCCTTGGGTAAAGGGGAGTTTAAATTGTTAAAATGAAGGGCCAAGCCCCCTTCAAAGGGGAGATAATCAAGAAAAGACAAAAATTGGATCGGGTCATAAAAAATTTCCTTCTCAAGAACCACTGGGCCAGAAAAGCTGAAACTTATGTGGAAGCATCCTGGTGTAGTGTAGATTCTAAATTGTTCAAATCATGACCCTCAGGGGTAGGGAGGGGCCACAATAGGGAATCCAAGTTTTACATTGAAATATGCAGAAAAAAACCTTAAAAATCTTCTTCTTAAGAACAATTGGGCCAGAAAGGCTGAAACTTATGTGGAAGCATCCTGGGGTAATTTAGATTCTAAATTGTTCAAATCATGACCCCCGGGGGTAGGGCGGGGCCACAATAGGGAATCCAAGTTTTACATTGAAATATGTAGTAAAAATCTATAAAAATCTTCTTAAGAACCACTGGGCCAGAAAAAACTGAAACTTATGTGGAAGCATTCTGGGGTAGTGTAGATTTTAAATTTTTCAAATCGTGACCCCTGGGGATAGGGCGGGACCACAATGAGTACTAAAGGGGGGAAATCAGGTGAAAAACAGCAAGGCCAGTTACTCAGGTGAGAGCGTTGTGACCCATGGGCCTCTTGTTGTGTCATTGCAATTTAACAACACAGTTTAAGTTTAACATCTTTTTATGATTACTAAATACAGGCTTTAATTTATTTTATAAATTCTTAACCCTGATTTGTTACAGAGAGAAGATGATGGAAACCTCTGTCTCCTTGATTTACCCAAGGAGTGCCTCATCAGCATAATGAAGAAACTGGATCGACCCCGGGACATTATTAATGTGGCCTTGACCTGTTCGACCCTGGAGGTCATTGCTATGGATAATGCAGTTTGGGAATCAATGTGTCTCTACCACTTCAATGACAAGGCCATGAGTGATTATATCAGCCATATTGAGTACTACAGTGTGGACTGGCTGGATGTCTTCAAATTTTGCAGCAAGTAAGTTTAAGTGGTCATGTGACTCAATGTTAAAGTTGTCATGTGACTTATTGTTAAAGTGTTCATGTGACTTTTAGTTAATGTGGTCATATGACATAGTTAAAGTGGTCATGTGACTTATTGTAAGTTAAAAATAAAATATGCATAAAATATTACTCTGTGTTAAAAAAAAAACACTTTTGATCATAAATTTTTTGTGTCTAGGTACATTATATATTATAATTATTTGGAGTTTACACCATACATATTACCTATGAAAAGACTGTAGCTTGTTTCAATGAATTATCATTCAAAGAGTTGTGATAGTGTAAAGAATCAATGTTCTGTACTCTGCCAGCATTTGCTGGAAACAGTTTGAGAAAACCTAAAAAAGAAAAAAAATAATTAATTAGATTTGAATTGAACAGGAAATTGAAAGTTTTGAAGAGGATTTATGGAGATGAGCTTGTGGTGTGTGACAACTGTAGAGGAGTGTTTTGGAGGGTAAGATATCATGTCTGTAATGAGATAATACATCATGTTATAAATCTTACAAATGATAATTTATAATACGGTAAAAAGAAAATCTTACTAGATAAAGTATACACATTGAATACTTGTACTTAAAGAATAATGATGGTTTGGCATCCATGTTGTAAATGTATGTCTGGCTGGAAGTATTTTGATCATTATGATAAATTATGATGATAAATTTTATGAATATGAAATAAATAATTGGATTAAAAATGAAATGTAGCTGTTCCATGTATAGAAATTTTTTCTGTACTCTTAACATGTATTTGTTAAGCAGTGACTTTTGTATTGTCTTCCCAGGTGGTCGGCCATGACTGTTTAAACAAGGAAGGAATTCCATCAAACACCCTCCTGACTCCGTCCGATTTTCTAGATCTGCTAAATCTATAGCTATATGTGTGATACTTACATAAAGACTAACACCTGAGGAGGTGACAGGTGTATACATATCTCCTTGAAACTTTAAATATGGCAACACTGACTATGGTAACTTATTTTTTATTCATTTTGATTTTGCTGTATTTTTGCTTCTATGGTCTTTGCCTTGAATGATGTTATTAATATATAGACACTTTTGATAGAATAATTTTTGCATTTGTATTGAATTTTTAAGTTCACATAGTGAACACATTTTTGTCATTTTTAGACGGTGGCTATTTATAGCCACAGGCTATTGCTGCTGGTCTGGGCTATGAATAAACAACAGTGTAAAAACACGGGGACCCTAGCGGCGATTTTTGCAGAGACAAAATAATGAAAGTGGAGTCGTTTCGATGTTCGAAAATAAAATGTACATGGTTCTCAAGTTATTTCAATGACATTTTGTTGATGGGCGCAAAGTTTAATTCCTGATATTTCCCGTTTTAATATTTCTCGCCTCATGAATATTCATTAAACTACACCGACTTAATGTTAATTCGTACAAAAACTGATTCGTATATAAGGAGTCAATTCGTATGCAAACCACAAAAGTCAATTCATACATAAAGTTTGTTGAGTATGAAACAAATCCAAAAAGTTAGTTCGTATACACGTCCTTTTTTACGTTGTGTAAATGTAAAATTTCAATAAAATTTATTAAAAGTAAAAAAAAAATCTGGGGGAAAAATATTTACGGATAATAGTTTCACATTACACCTTACCATCTTAGGAAATAAAATAATTATTGTTAAACCAACACACTCTCGGTGGTTTCTTCGCTGTTGGATGTGTGACAAACACTTATTATATGAGATGTTCCCAATTTGGTATTCCCTAATTACGAGATACTCCATGCTTGGAAAGCGTCAATCCCCAAATTTCTCCATTTCCGACAAGCTATTCCTTGTTGCAGAACTGCGTGTTTTATTTGAGACGTTTTGTGAAATTTTTATACAACGATACTTATACAGTTTATTGAAATTTTACGGTGTCTTTTGATGAATGGAATTTCTAGTATCTGTTGATGATACTATATTAGAAAAAGATATATTTTCGGAATGGAAAAAAATCACGTCCTCTTAAAGTTTACATAAAAGAGAGTTGTTGAAGGCAGATACGATGCCATTTTGCAAAGTTAATTTCGGTTCTATCTAAAAACAAAAGTCATTGCCTAATTATCTCGGACACAAAAACTACTGAAAGGATGTTAATTTATCAAAGTTATAATTATAAGACTGTGACGAACAAAAGTTACCGATATATTTCATTCGTATTTGAAAATTCTATCGTGACTCGAATAAAATTTACCCTTTAAAAAGTGTTAGAAAAAACTACACAAATGCATGTACATGAAATATTAGGATTTTCTTGCGAATTCAGTTGATTTAATTTAGGTCAGTCTTCTCCTACATGTGTTTTCAAAACTTCGTATTACGCAATAACTAGCGGGGTCAGTGCAATAGAGGGTGAAAGATATTTTGTATTCTGTTCTTTTTTCTTTTCTTTTCGAACAGTATATATACATATATATATATATATATATATATATATATATATATATATATATATATATATATATATATATATATATATATATATATATATATATATCAAACAAAAAGGTAAAACTACTGTACAATTCTTGAAGTCTTTCAACCTTATAGAAATACATGTAAGTAAATTACTGGAAATTTGGCAAAAATGGGGATCCAAAGATAAAGTCTATTTCAATATCTTTCAGCATATGATTTATAGCATATGATTTATGTCGCACAATCTACAGTACATCGCCAAAAGTGATTCATCATTTCCCTTTTTACCATATATTTTAAGAAAAGTTAGTTTTTTGTTTTTTTTTTTAAAATATTGTGAGTTCAATTTAACTCCAGATTAGCAAAATTTGATAATTAATCACTGAGTATAAGAATTTAAATTATAAAATCACAATTTCTGTTTAACAACTTCAATTAATACATGTCCTCATCATACTGACGCAAATATAAAATAACTCATCAAATATATGTATTGTAAAAAATTGCAACAAACGTTCATAATTTCCATATCATTTTACAGATTCTCATATTAATTTATTTGATTTAATTCATTCATGCCAGTGGTCAGTAATTAGAGCGTTTGCTCTAGAATCAAGGAGTAAGGAGTCGATCCTTAGGTCGCGGGTTCGAATCCCACTGCGGGACGTGGAGACCGGTCCTTCAGATGAGACCGTTAAACTGGGGTCCCTTGTCGCAGTTAGTGCTGGCCAGAAAAAAGATCCCTCTCTGCACAATGGCCCTGAGTGTTGAGTATAGATATAAAATTTGCAGCCCACCAATGGCAATGGTGGCGTCTCATTATGAGTGAAAAATTCCCGAGAGGGACGTTTTAATTAAAACAAACAAACAATCAAACAAAATCATTCATGCCACCGTCTATCAGTACTCACAGTACTTTGATTTTTTTATAATTGCAGAAATATTTATTGATTATTCACAATAGTTGGGTCAAAGGTGAAAGTTTTCATCCAATGAATTTAACACCTGTTTGTCTATATTTACATGTATACCATTTAACATAAAGATGTCCATTTTTTGAGCATTTCTAAATAAATTTTCTGAAAGTATATTTATACATGTACCTCCCTTCGAAGAAGGGAGGGCATATTGCTTTGCTGCTGTCTGTCGGTCGGTCTGTCTGTCGGTCCACCAACAGTTTCCATTCATTTTCTTTGCAGAGGTTGCACATACTGAAATGAAATTTGATATACTGATTTATCATAAGAATATCTAGGTCAAGTTCTGTTTTGGGTACGATCCAGGTATTTTTGACAAAATTATGCCCCATGAACTTAGAAAAATTCCAATTATTTGCAGTTTCTGTTCATTTTCTTTGCAGAGGTTGCATATACTTAAAGGAAATTTAGTATACAGATTTATCATAAGAATATCTAGGTCAAGGTCTGTTTTGGGTAAGATCGAGGTATTTTTGACAGAGATATGCTTCTTGGACTTAGAAAAATTCCAATTATTTGCCGTTTCCATTCATTTTCTTCGCAGAGGTTGCACATACTGAAATGAAATTTAATATACAGATTTATCATAAAAATATCTAGATCAAGTTCTGTTTTGGGTATGACCGAGCAATTTTTGACAGAGTTATGCCCCTTGGACTTATTTTTTTTTGGGGGGGGGGGGGGGCATAAGTGTTTCACAAACATCTCTTGTTTATATTTGTTTCGATATGTGTGAAATATATATATATATATATATATATATATATATATATATATATTTTTATCAGACATTTTATTTTCATGGGACTTTCTGTATTATAGGTACAATGTACCAATTGTTAATTCATGTTTAACATTATCTAAGAAAAAAAATTACAAAACTAAAAAATAAAATATGTTAACATTTATAAGCAGTCCATTGTGTAACAGCAGTTAACTGATTTGTACATATTGGCCACTGTAGTTGTGTTTGTTTTTGTTTGAGTTATAAAAAAATTTCAGTGATTATTAGTTAATTTTAATGTATAAATAAATGTTATGACAAAATAATATACTCAAATTACTTGACTAATCAAGAACAAAAAGAGAAGTTTTGCAAGGTCAGTGTTATTTGTGTGTGTGTTGGGGGGATGCAATCATTTTAGGATATACATCTATATGAAATAAAATGGCACAATCTGGGTATTTTTTGCCTGCTCTCCCCCTTTTTATGGCAACCAGTAAACCACCATGTTTTTCTTTTATAATTTCAACCTTTTCTCCTATTGAAGTAAACTTAAAACAAGTCTTACAGGGACATGTCATATGATATTAATTTATACTTAGAATTGATAATAAATGATATGATTAAGTGTAAGTGGACAATTCTGCATGATCCATAAATGGTATTCAGTGTATAATGAAAGGATATTGAACAATTTTGAATCATTTATCTAGTAATTATATATTTCAAGATAACAAAGAGAGTGAAATAAACCAAATTAACATGACTGATAACATATGAGAAGCTGGTCATTTTGCACCTTACAAGTTTTCAAAGAGTTACCTGCCCTTAATGAAAAGAAGAAAATTTTAATTTTGTCAAAATACCTGTGGTAATTGATTCATTTTATTTTACATTTTAATAAAGAGAGACTTTGTGCATATTTTCGCCAAAAGAGTTCAAATTTCTTCCTACAATTATCTTAATAAAACATGCGCTGCTCATAGATTCAAGATGGATTAATTGGACAATAGTCAAAATTTTCTCCATTCCTTTGGTGGAGTACTAGTATTTTTATTTGATAACACCTTCAAAATGCTACGATGAATGAAAAAAAAATCGGACTTCTTATTTATTAGGTACAAAATATGATCATTATGCATTGAATACTTATAATAAAACGTAGAGAAAGTACCTAATGATAACAAAGTCACTAAAGGTTAGGATAGGCACCAACTCAATTAAATCTATGACTGCATACAGCAGATTTATTGGACAAGAGATGATAAGGGACAACTAACAACTAAATTATATGACAAACAAGATCACTTCAGCTTTTCCATTGTCAACTTTTCTTATTTATGTAATAATATCCCGCTCTCACCTGCATATGGTGTTTACATTTCCCAACTTTTTTGATTCTCAAGAGCATGCTCCGAGTATGATCGGTTTTAAAATCGAGGCCAGCGTCTGACAGATAAGTTGATGTTACAGAGATTTCATAAACCTTGTATAAATTCAGCAATTCGTAAATACTATGGTCGTTATAATGATCTTAATAGCAAATATAGCTTATTATTGGCGGCATTTTGGCTGACGGTGTTTCATAAAATTGTTAAGCCTGAATTTGAAAAGGGACTGATCCGTCCACCAAATCAATACATAAGGCTCACGGCAGGCGTGACCGGTCAACAGGGGATGTTTTCTCCTCATAGACACCTGATCCCGCCTCTGGAATTTCCAGGGGTTCATGTTTTGTGCCCTGTTCACAGATTTGTATTGTTTATAGATTTTTTGAGATCCTCGTTTTTTATCTACACCTGTTCATTGTATGTGTAACGACTAAAGGTGACCCCCGGTCAATATTGCACAGACCTATATGTATTTCCAACAATTCTATATGCGTATCTATGTAAATAAAAAAAAATTTCAGTGCAGGGTTGGCACAATTCAGGTAATTTTAATACAGCAAACTAAAAGATATATAGTATTAAACGGATTCTTGTCTGTAATTTTGCAAATCCGTTTACAAGTCCAACGAGATCATTGAGGTCCGAGATCATTGATATCGGTGCCTGTATTTAGAAATCTACAGACACGTCTTTCCAGTCCTGGGTCTGTGTCTTCAATAACGTCAATTTCTAACACGGATCTGTAGGTCTTCTGATTTACTGCAAAAAGATTAAATTTGAATGAATTCAATTTTTTATCGTAATATTTTTTACGAAACAGAGGAAGATTAATTGTGGAAGCAATGATTTTAAATCGTTACGGATATCTATGATACCAATGTTGCCTTGATAAAAACTTACTGAGAGATTTTTTTTTTTTTTTACATACTTAACGTTACACAGTTCTACATGCTATCAGATTTTGGAATGGTTTATTTTGTTTTTGATAATCATTGAATCAGAAAAAACTATACTGACTCTACTTTTATGTTTTATGTTCAAGTAAAACAATGATTTATTGTAAATACTCAATTGAATAATTCTTTGTACAAATCTGTGTAATTTGTGCACATGTACATTATAAATGTAGGAATATCAAATTATACAACAATTAAAAACAAGTTTTCAATTTACTGAGATATGTTTACTTTAGGGTAGGTAATCAGTGGCAGAAGTGCTTGCTAAATTTTTGCTTTTAATATAAACTTTCATATGGATAGATAAAAAAAATTGCAATTTGAATGCGACACGTACCAAATACAGTTTGACAGCACTTTTATAATGTTTTATATATTACTGTATATGAGCATTACTTTGATAATATATTTTTTTTAAATTGCTATTTACTATAAACTATATACTTCAAAAGTTACTTGGAAAAGTCAAATAATATAAAAATCAGTAGTAGCTATTGGACTGTACATTTTGCCTTGGAAAATATGACGTCACAGCTAGATATTTTAAATATTTTTATCCTCTCTCTATATTATAAGAACGTGAGTAAGGAGATTCTGTCAAATACGTACATAAGGATACCAGGCTGACTGGTAGTTTTATTGATGTAGGAAAGAGACTAAATGCTGCTTTAAAATATGGTGAATTTCTTCGACTGACTTTTGTGCCGCAACATAAACACACATCTACAAATAAAACAAAAGAATATATCATAAACCTTGTTAACAATATGGAAAAATCTTGAGACACAAGTAATTTATTATTATAGTTACTTTGTTTTTGTTTTTGGAGATAAAGTAAAAACAAATAGCAGACTAAAACTGCAGCCACCGCTGAGGCGAAGATCCGTCCTGCAATGGTTGAGAACAACACGCCAAAGAGGAAGGGTAAGAGCTCCTGTAAAAAAGCAGTTTTTTTAAACTTTGGTTCAAAATATATATTCAAAAATGTTTTTAAAAATCCAAATATAAAGTGTCTTTTGTTAATTTTGTGATATATTTCTATTTTACTATATTTAAAGAAAGTAAATCATGGAATAACTGCATTCTTGTTTGTAATTTGCGACCATCAATGCTGATTAACGGTTGCAAACTGAGTTTTCATCGGCGATGCGTTATTTCATTGTAATGCAATTTTTGTATTTTGTTGAATATTTTCATCTTATTTTGTGTTTATGCCATATTCAAAGATTAGTAATTTATTTGAAGTTTTTACGAGATCGATCAATGTTGGTTATCTTTACTCTTTTTCATTTGTATAGTTCTGCTTTGTTGTTGGAATATTATTAATACGTCATGGAATGTTTATGCATGACATTGTGTTGGAATGCGAAATTATAATAACATATTTTCAAATAATTGTACCTATATTCACAAAAATGTACATATCTTCAAATAATCGAACCTATCTCCAAATTATTGAACCTATCTTCAAATACTTTGAAGATAGGTACAATTGAATTAAAGAAAGGTCTAAATGAATTTAAAATGGGTATAAATAATTTTATCTATCATTAAATAATTGAACCTACATTTTTGTAATTATAGGTTCAAATGAATTAAACCTATCTATAATTCCATTATAAACAGGTTCAATTCAATTACAGATAGGTTCAATTGAATTATACTTATCTTTAATTTAATTGAAGATAGGTACAATTGATTTAAAGATGGGTTAATATTAGTACATCTCCACATAGGATTAAAAGATAGATAAAAATAAATTATACCTAGGTTCAATTTAATGCCACTTATCTTAATTTAAATTTATTTTCAATTCATGGTATTTGTACCTACCTTTAATTCAATTATAACTATCTTCAATCAATTGTACCTATCTTCAAATGAGTTAAAAGATAGAAATAGTTAAATTAAACCTTTCTTCAACTCATTTGGAGATAGGTACATCTGATTTGAAGATAGAAGATACAATTATTTGAAGATGGGTAAAAAAAAAATTGTACCTATATCTTCAAATAATTGAACTTCAAATATTTTGAGGAGAGGTCTTCATGAATTAAAGGTAGGTCTTCATGAAATAAAAATAGGTATAAATAATTACACCTATCTCAATATTTGAACCTAGGTTAAAATGAATTACACCTATCTTTAATTGCATTACAGATAGGTTTAAATCAATTACAGAAAGGTTCAATGGAATTATACCTACAATGTATCTTTGATTTGATATGGAGAAAGGTATAATTGATATATATATATATATATATATATATATATATATATATATATATATATATATATATATATATATATATATATATATATATATATATATATATATCTTGTGTGATATATAGAAATCATCTTACCTCGACTTCCATAAACTGATAAACAAACATCTATCAATTTTAATAACGTTTAAATAATTTGCTAGGATATATTAATTAATTTGAAAACATATCCGTGTTCATTTCCGAAGTAAGAGGCCATTGAGGTGAATGGAAAGTCTAGTTTATGTATACACAGATTTTATCAGCTGTTATACACAAGATGATACAGTAGCATGAAAACGTAGATAATGGAATAAATTTATCATTAAAATTGAAAATTAAGAGACAGGACATTATATGTGTTGTTTTTGTTGCTCTTATTTAACTTTTGCTATATGCGTATTATGGATGCTAAAAAGCAACTTTGTTCTTCAAGCTTTGTGCGATACTGAACATTGTTACCCTGAATATGTAGTTTTGTTTACTATTAACCAATGAATGATTTTTATTTTTTATGTATAATTTTAGTCGAAATAACACATTTTGAATATGTGGAAGAGTATTTTCATATGCTTCATCGTATACATTGTTTATATTTAGAAAATACTCTGCTTGATGATAGAATTTTTTTCTGCTCGAACAATAATATTTATCAATCTAAAAAATTTATGTTACCATCTGAATGACATTTTATCATATATAACTTTTATCTACTATCCCTTTCTCTAGGCTACACAAAAGGTTTTTTTTTATAGCATTATATAGTTATAAGGTCTGAAGTTGTAGTATTATACAGTCAGAGGTCTGAAATTCTGCATTTTTAAAGCTTTACTTTTCCTTTTTTTTTCTCAAAAAATACCAATAAATATTAAGTTGTAAGATTGACTATTCCAGTTATTGACTGCAGGTATGAATAATGTCGAGATGTACATGTATTACTTCATTTGATTTACTAAAAAAACAAAACAAAAATTCCCTCTCCCCCCAAAAGAACACTGTAAATAAAAATAAAAATTAAAAAATATATATATTAAAACTAAGTAAATAAACAAAAAAAAAAAAAAAAACAAAACAAAACAAAACAAAAAACAAAGAACTGATCTCTAAAAAAAAATGTGTATGCTCATTTTACTCTTTGCACTGATTTAAAATGAAAAAAAAGTGATCGATCTCAAAAATGTATCTACAATGAAATATATAGAGATACCGAACAGTATTCAAGCTCAAAAGTCCATTAAACAGTACAAAATAGGAGCAGAGCAAACACGGACCTCCGAAACACCAGATGTGGGATCAGGTGTCATGGAGGAGTGAGCATCCACTGCCGACCGGTAACACCCGCCGTGTGCTCCTTGTCATGATCAGGAAATAACGAGATTATCCGTCGACAATTCAGTGTGTAAATAATGGCCTAACAATTAGTATGAAAAACGTAAGTCAGCATTTGACTCAATGATAAATTGTATTTGCTGACAAGGTCATTATATCGACCATAGAACTTACGAAATGACGACTTTAAACGAGACGGTTGATATTCTTGTTTCATCAACTTGTTTGTCAATAGCTTACCTCGTTTTAGAAATTGTTCATACGTAGAACATGCTCTTGGGTATGTGTTTCAAGCATATGTTGAACATATGTCTGAAACATATGATATATGTATCACTAAAAGCTCATATATTGTAACTTATGCTGTACATATGCTGTGTTGCTTGTTTTATAATGGAAATAATTATGCAATCTTAATGTGTAAGAAATTCAAATTAGCCAGCTTTCAATGATAATTTATGTGAAATCTTGAAATAATTATGGGTCTCTTATCCACCTATCGGCATGAATATATTTACATTGTTTTTACACACGAAATGATGACTTTAAATGAGACTGCTTATATTCTTGTTTCATCAACTTGTTTGTCAATAATTTACCTCGTTTTAGAAATTGTACATGTACATGCGTGGAGCATGCTCTTGCGTGTCGATTCAACGGAGAGATATAAACCCCGTATGCAGGTGATGAAGGTATATTGCCGCATAAGTAAGGGAAGTTGACGATTGATAAGTTATTTAAAGTCATCACGTTTATCATAAAGCTTTGTGTTTAGATTACCATTAACGTCTTTTTCAAGTAAAATATCCAAATATGAAACAGATGTGTCAGACTCTGTGATATCTTTTATACAACCAATACATATCTCCTCCTAGGCACCTAATCCCAGCTCTGAAGGGTCCGAGTTTATGCCCTCTTCACAGATTTGTATTATTTATAATTTTTTGAGATCGGTCACTGCTCGTTTTCTTTACCTTTTACATCTATGAACAGAGCAAAAACACCGACCCCCGGCATTTCCAGAGGCGGGAAGTGATATATTTTAAATATTAAGATTTTCTTTTAAAATATTCATTTCGTCTTACATGTATCTTTTAACTGTTTTTATAGCTATTCTGTAATGCAGGATATCTGCTGTAGAAAAAAGAAATAAAACGTCTCCTTGACAAAGAACTTTTTTTTTATTTTTTAATACAAAATCTGCAAACAGGTTTTCCCGTCTTGGAATCTGTTTCTTCAGTGATATCTAATTCCATTAATGATCTGTGGGTCTGAGGGATAACTACAATAAAAGGCAATACAATGAGGAATTTTACATAATTAATTTACATATAAAACAAGTACAACATGATTATTTCAATATTAATAAATTCGTAGCTAAATATTTGTTTGTACGTCCGTGATTAAGAACCATAACTCAATGCTTATAAACTTTTCAATTTCAGTTCCCCTGGATATTCCGGTTACTATTATACATGTATATATATATATATATATATATATATATATATATATATATATATTCCCATCTAGAGCAAATAAAATTATTTGAAAAGATTCCTTTTACACATGGATGTCAAGGTGAAGGGTACATTTCTAGGATCTGGAAAAGGACTGAATGCTGTAAAAAGAGATTTCTTATATATTTAAACTTTATGAGTTGAAAGACATTGAACGCTTTGAGAAAAGATTTCTATATAATATTTACAAATAGATTTTAAGGTGATGGGTAAATTTATAGGAGCTGGAAAGAGACTGAATACTGTGAGGAAATATTTGGAAGCTCTGTGTTGTTTTGTATTACCACGTCGATCATCTGCAAAATGAAGAATAAAGTAAATGCCGGAATGTCCAGAACATCATCATATAAAAAGATCAGATAAAATAATATTTTCACATACAATTTGGCTATCTTATAACTCGATTATTACCTGAATTATTACCTGGAGAACATGAGAATACTAACCCCGGTTTTTCTTTGTTGTATAACATCTTAACAAAATGCAGACTAGAATTGTTAACACTGTTAAAGTGATCTTTGAAAACAAGTGATCCAGGAAGGACGAGTGCTCCTGTAAGAAAATTAAAAGTACCGGTGTATAACACAGTTGTTACACTTAACAGTCTTCAATCTGTTTTCTTATGTCTTAAATTGTCATCTGGTCTATTGTAAACTATGGATGAAATATTACCTATATTAACTTAAAGGACAGACACCATATGTGCTGTTTATAACTTTATTTGCAACTTACACTGTAGCAATATATTTACATAGAAGAGATGCAAATAATGAGAAAGGTGGAGATAATAGACAGTGAGAATCTCTAAAATCCTAGAAACAAACCACAACATCTCTGGTCACATCCCATGTCAAATTCAATATAAGAAATTATTTTCCTCACGAGAGAAAATAGCAGGAAAAGTTAATTTAAGCACGTCATATGAGTTAGCAGACAAGCCTGTTCTCTTCTAATTATTTTATTCAATAAAGTAAATCTATATTTAAGCCATCTTTTAAAAAAAAATGTTTGTTTGCCCTCTCCCGACCGACTGGCTAAAAATGGCCCAACTCAACTTTTTTTAACTTCCAGGAAACGATTTTTCCTGAATTTCCTCATCCCGTCAACACGTTTGTTATAATTTTTTGTAAAAGAAAAATTTTCCCACATACCTACTTAAGTCGGGAGAGGGCAAGCAAACATTTTTAAAGATGGCCTTATTTCTTCTGTTTTTGAACATACAGATAGAAGTAGCATCTTTACATAAAGATCGTATTGCTTACACTGTCTGATTAGGCTTAACAATAATTCAAGATCTTTGTTTCCCGAATTAAAAATAATCTTACCTTTACCTTCATGATAAAAGCGATGATGAAGTTTTAAGTATTTGTGATAAAAATTACACCTGACGTCAAAAATTGAATTATTTCTCTTTGTTTGAATATTAACTCTTTTCTACATGGATCATTATCTGCATAAAAAGTATATAAACGCACTCAAGACTCTTACCTGCAATTCTGTGTAATCTATTAATATTAAGTTGACCTCTTCTCGGGTGAATGGTTTTCTATTACGGGTAGTGATGTTACACGTTTGGATTTTAAATGAATGAATTCTTCCACATTTTATACATTCTCTGATATATCTTTATTTGTCCTTGCAAGAAGCAATTCAGTTTCGGCAATTTAAGTGAAAATAAATAATCGTTTGTTATATATATTTAAATATGTATTGCTAAATGCTGTGGAATCATCAAAATTCGTGAGGGCTAATTTTCGTGGATTGCTTCATATTTTCTAGTTTCGACGGTGGGCAGGTTATTTCGTATATTCACTCCTATCTTCTCATATATCTACCAAAGGAAATATAACGTTGAGTATATCATACATCAATTTATAGAGGATGTATTTTTGATGATATCGATATGTATACACATGTATGAAGATAACGAATAGTAATCAAGCTCAAAAGTTCATTTAAACAATACAAATCGAAAGCAGAGCAAATACAGACCTCTAAAAACATCAGAGGTGGGATCAGGTGCCTTGGAGGAGTAAGTGGGAACAAGAGGAATATTATTCAATAGCAATGGAATTTTTCATTTGAAACGAGATCATAGTGACCTTTGTAATTGTTACCCGTACCGGAGTTGGTATCTGAACAAATAAAGTTTTGAAAAAAATAGAAAGCGGGTCATATTCTCATCGGCGGTAAATTACTAGTAAACATTGGAATATGGCACAGTCGGGGAGTGTGCAGACTGAGGAGGAACCTTTCCGTTGTCCGATCTGTCTAGAAGAGCTGAAGATTCCTAGATATTTACCATGTTTACATACGTTCTGTGAGGCGTGCATTCAGACCTACATATCTAGTACAGCAGCCCGTTTGGAGCAAAACACTCGGAATTTCATTGAGTGTCCAGTTTGCCGAAGTTCAGCCATGGAACCGAGACAAGGGGTTTCTAGCGAAGAATGGGTAAAAGATCTACCAATCAATAAATGGATATTGACTATGTCACTAAACTCGGCGAGTGACGCAAATAAATATTGTCTCTTCTGTAGACGAGAGAATCTTACAGTGTTGGCAAAACGTTGGTGTAAAACCTGCGCTGAACCAATCTGTGACGACTGTAATCGTATTCATAGAAAAGTACCTGTCCTCCGAAACCATAAAATTTACTGCTTATCTGATAAACTCAAGTGGAGCGAACCTGTTGATGTCGAAGAACAATGTAGTGTTCATAAAGAAAAACTTGTGGAAGTGTTTTGTATAGACCATAACAAAATGTGCTGCAGTGTTTGTTTTGCAACACAGCATAGACATTGTTCTTGTGTTGAATCAATAGAAGATGTTGCATTGTTTCTTGATACAAAGAAAGTTAGAAAAAATGTGGAGTCACTGACAAGTTTATTAGATAATCTGTCTGCACAACAGATTGAAAATATGGTGCAAAAGGAAAGACTGAATAAAGCAAAGGAGGAAATATGTCTAAATTTTGAAGACAAAGTAAAGAGGGTCAAAGCCCTGATTGACGAAAGGCATGCTCAGTGGCTGAAGCGTTTTGATGTCGCTCATAAACAACAAACTGACAATATCGATACTGTATCAGATGAGTTGAAGCGGTTTAGTACTACAGTTAGAGAGGCGAAAACATTACTTTCCTCGATTTTCGAGAATGGCTCAGAAATACAACTCTTCATTACACAACAAAAAATCTCTTCTCAAATCTCGGCCCATTTTGATAGACTAGAATCGTTGCGTACATGGGATTTGGCTGAGACGTATTCTGAGACGCACACTGACATTCAACAGATCTGTTGTACAGGCCAGATCGAGGATGTGAAAATATCCCTTAAGTCCAGCAATGCTCTTCCTGTAATTTCAAAGGTATATATAGATACTCCAAACTTTAGTAACATTCGAAATTTTAAAAGAAGTCTGATATTCCGCCATTTTTTAAGTTCACCTTTGTATTTCCTACAGATATTTCCAAGGCCTAGATATTGATCATCTAAAGCGAAATCCTCCCATGTGTTCTTCATCCTCTTGTATCAATATGAGGGAAATTTAGTTACCCCTGATCAGTTCCAATTACGACAGAACTTCCATTATGAATTTCCTCAAAGAGCAATGCCGATTTTTTTTCTCAAATTTTCTACACGAGAAGAAGAAAACCCTTGATTTGGGTTTCAATTTGACATTTAGAATATGTTTTATCAATTTTATTCTGTTCAAAATGAGCTTTTCCACCACATTTCTTTAAACGATATCGAATAGTTTTGTCTTGTTTTCAAATATCATTAAACATAGGTGTCATAATTTCCGAACATTTGTAGCAAGACTGGATAAATACAGCTTTAAACAACCAGTCGGAAACAATTTTTAAGTGTACAGAAATTGACAATGTAAATTTTGGCCATTGCCGTGAATTAGCTAATATTAAATTCCAATAGACTTTGAAATTCCTGGTGTGTCAATATTATAGCTGAACTCAGAGGGTTCTTTGCAAGAAAGAAAAGTTTAGAAAAAATGGTATATTGATAGAAAATTGTTTGAAAGCCAATGTATTTTGAAATATGCTAAAAAATAAAGACTTTGATAACGTGGGACAAAATATTTAAAAAATATTCATTTTCATTCATGTGTCGACGCAATGCATCTCAGAGAATTGTATTTTATAATCAGATGTTTAACTGATTAAATTAAGACGCTAATAGTAAACTAACAACTTAAGTATATTTATGTTCCAAAATTCGAAATTCGGCATCTTTGGTATGGATTTCTCCCATCAATCTGACATGCAAGAGTATGTTCTGTGTACAATCAATCTTTAAACAAAGGCAGGCAACTGACAAATAAGTTGATGTAACAAGGCTTTTAACGGTCTCCTTGAAAGTCAGAATTTTGTTAACTTTATTGTCATTATCATAATGACCCAGGTTCGCAAATAAAGCCTATCTTTGTGTCATATTTTGACAAAAATGCTTCATACCAAATGTTAAGCTACTTTTTCTACTAATCTTTTCTACGGATTTCATTGTCCTCTCAAAATCATTTTCTGATATTTAATATATTAGTAGTTTAAAACACTTTTGTTGATATATGTTGATTTTGCTTGGCTGGTTGGTTGCTTTTTTAGTTCTACTGGTCGAAAACTCGAAGACTAAATGTGGTAATAGATATCTGTATCTATCTGTCTGTCTGTAGATAACTTTTCTAAACGTTACTCCTATAACAGTTCAAACGTCGTTAATATTTAGACAACAATAAGATACATTATATCTATATGAGATTTTGATATCGACGGACGACGTTGCCATGGTTACCAAACATTTTGTGTTTTTGTAAATGCTTCTACCCCTGTGGTTTTGATTTTGTTTCCCTAAAACTTCTACCCCTGTGGTTTTGATTTTGTTTCCCTAAAAATTCTACCCCTGTGATTTAGATTTTGATTCACTATAACTTCTACCCTTGTGGTTTTGATTTTGTTTCACTAAAACTTCTACCCCTGTGGTTTTGATTTTGTTTCACTAAAACTTTGAACACGAGTAGAATAAACCAAAGATTACAATTCTATCTATCTGCGTTGCCATAACTACTAAGTTTCAAGTCAAGATGCAACCTTTGTCTTCCTTTATTGCAAGCAGAAAACTGAAGAGTGTTCGATCTTATGTGCTATATATAAACCAATCATTTATACTTGACTTTATTCTGAAATCACCCTGTCTATTTTAGGAAGTAAGAAACATCACTGCCCTCTCCCACGTTACCGGGTACCCCACTGCTGCCTCTGTTTTCCTCTCTATTGCCAACGGTTTTAAGAGGCTCCTGGCCATTGCTGTGGAAACGGACTACACTTTTCCAGAGGCTGAAAAGGTTTTTTAAAAAATATTTATCATTTATTTTAAATAAATAAAATTGACCATCAGTTACATCTGATCGATACTGTCGGTACAGCTGTATACGCGATGTTGTGTATTGTAATATTGTGTTGCCCTGTGTTTGCAACGTTGGATATTGTAATAATGTGTTGCACTGTATATGCAATGTTGGGAATTGTAATAATGTGTTGCTTTTTGTTTACCATTATATGATAGGTTTGAAGAATTTGTTGTAATTTTGCAGACCAAGAAATACTTGAAAGATCTCAGCTGCCGCTCCTTTGGAGAAGAAAAGGAAAAACTAGAGCCAGAGTTGGAGTCTGAAGATAGCATGAGCTTTGGGTTGTTTGACTAATAGGTTGAAAATAAAATCTTACATTCAGATTTTCTCTCTGTTGGTTGTTTAACGAAATGGCAAACGGATACTTAATAAAGAAAAGAAAAGTTTTATTTTGAAAGTTTTCCAAATAAAACAAAATTGTTCATGTATTTTATGGCGGAAATTTCGAAAAAATGCCTTTCTCACAAAGATTGTTTTGGATTTGTGAGACAAGTTAAGTAATTATTAATGTATACTTTATTAGATAGTTTGTATATTATCTATAAAGCCAAACGATGCATTGAACAATAATGTAGGCAGCGGGCGGTTAACTTATCAATATACCATTATCACCTGCATAATGAATTTATGTCTCCCAGTTGATTTGATGTGCATGAGCATGTTCTACGTATAAACATTTTATAAAACGAGGCAAGGTACTGACAAATAAATTAATGATACAAGACAAGGATATCGAGAGTCTCTTTTAAATTTAACATTTCGCTATTTCTTTGGTCGGTATAATGACTTTGTTTGCAAATACAACCTGTCATTAAGTTGAATGTTGACTGTCGTTTTTCATATAAATTGTTAGGCCTTTATTTTCATATTGAATTGTCCACGAATTTTCTCCGTTTACTCGATCATGACAAATTAATTAGGGCACACGGCGGGTGTGACCGGGTCGACAGGGATGTTTACTCATTCAGGTCACCTCATCACACCTCTGATGTTTTCAGTGGATCCCACCGTGTTTTCTTTCTCTGCTCACAATTTGTATTGTTTTGAGCATGTTAACCATTCATTATCTTAATATTTCATATACCAAATATTCATCAATTCAATATGTTCTAATCTTATGACTGACAAGTTAAGACTGAGTTTTCGTTTTATTTGCTGACTCCCTTGATCAAAAGAGTTTTGTCTCTGAACTATGAATAAATATTTGATATCCAAGCTATGATGTCAGAACAATTTTGTTGTTCTAAATGAGACTAATCAAGTTTAAAATTATGGTTTGCCGCCCAAACAAATGAATTCCGTAGCAATATTAAAATGCCACCTATGGAGGCAATAGAAAATAAACTAGATAATGGATAACTGGAGAATATCAGTTATTTATTGATGATACTGTGTATAAAGAGGATGTTACAAAAAGGTGTGACCGGTCGACAGGGTATACTTAATCTTCCATGGCACCTGATCCCTCATCTGAAGTTTTCAGGGGACCGTGATAGCTCTACCCCCAATCTGTGTTAATTATTGGGACTTTTTGACATTAATACTAGCTTTTTGTTATCTTCATATTTCATAAAAGTAATGCATTTGTAAATTAAACAAAACACACGCACACACTCACACACACACAAGCAAACAAAAACATTCGGTTTGAAAAAAGTGCAGAAAACCCCTTGGCATTTGATAAAAATAAAAGATGTAGCAAACCCCGCTTTAAACGGAATTGAAGAGAAACAAACATTCTGAGAGTATTGCATTAGCAACACTAGTTCCCTACCGGCAAGTGTTATCGGGTTCCCATTAAAAATTGAAAATGCCGCAATATATCTGCAAGTGTTTATAAAAAAAAAATGTGGGAAACCCTTAAAGACATATATGGCGTATTTTTGATAAGTTCAGACTTAAAATTAAAAAGATCTTTCTATTTGTTTTATTACTTTATATAAAGATAGAATTTTCCTGTAAATTACACAATTTAAATCAATCGCATTTCATAGATATCAGAAATTAAAATAATAACTGATTTATTTAGCGAGTCCGCAGTTAAGTATCAGACACAGTTTAAAGTCAATTTAACTATAGAAACGTTGGGATATTCAAGTTCAAAATCGGTGAAAATTTTAATTTGAACGTAAATAACAAATATCATGATCATTTACACTCAATCTCGTATTCTTATTTTTTAGCTCAGGTACGCCATATATCGCTTTAAAAAAATTAAAAAGTCGCAAGTCCGTCAAAAAATCAATGAAGCGGAACAAAATGCAAGGGAATCCAATTTTTACATTGAAATATATACGAAAAATCTTTAAAAATCTTCTTCTCAAGAACCACTGGGCCAGAAAAGCTGAAACTTAAGTGGAAGCATCCATTGTTTAAATCATGACTCCCGAGGGTAGGGCGGGACACAATAGGGAATCCAAGTTTTACATTGAAATATATAAGAAAAATCTTTAAAAATCTTCTTTTCAAGAACCACTGGACCAATAAAGCTGAAACTTATTTGGAAGCATCCTGAGGTAGTGTAGATTCTAAATTGTTCAAATTATGACCCCAGGGGGTAGGGCTGGGCCACAATAGGGAATCCAAGTTTTACATTGAAATATATAAGAAAAATCTTTAAAAATCTTCTTCTCAAGAACCAATGGGCCAGAAAAGCTGAAACTTATATGGAAGCATCCTGGGATAGTGTAAATTCTAGATTGTTCAAATCATGACCCCTGGGGGTAGGGCGGGGTCACAATAGGGAATCCAAGTTTTACATTGAAATATATTGGAAAAATCTTTTAAAATCTTCTTCTCAAGAACCACTGGGCCAGAAAAGCTGAAACTTAAGTGGAAGCATCCATTGTTCAAATCATGACCCCGGGGGGTAGGGCGGGACACAATAGGGAATCCAAGTTTTACATTGAAATATATAAGAAAAATCTTTAAAAATCTTCTTTTCAAGAACCACTGGACCAATAAAGCTGAAACTTATTTGGAAGCATCCTGAGGTAGTGTAGATTCTAAATTGTTCAAATCATGACCCCGGGGGTAGGGCGGGGCCACAATAGGTATATTAAAAGGGGGGAAATCTGGTAAAGAACAGCATGGCCAAAGCTACTCAGGTGAGCGATGTGGCCCATGGGCCTCTTGTATAATTTATAATCACTACTTTAAGGTCTGTCCTTTCTCTTTCATCAAAGTCAGACTGGAATGTTCATTTATTATACATTGCTATTACAAGTAATCATATATTATACACTTATTTCATGACTACGAGAGGAACAGTCAAACTGTTGTCCCGATGTAATGGGGAAGACCTGGGAAACTGTTGCCCGAGGCCAAAGGCCTCGGGCAACAGTTTCCCAGGTCTTCCCCATTATCAAGGGACAACAGTTTGACTGTTTCCCAAGTTGTCATGAAATAAGTGTTTTATTACCTAACCTACTATATAATTTGATAAAGTAATGATATAGACATAATAATCAATGGATTTAAAATATTAATCAAATTCTCACAATGATTGATGTAAAATCAGAAAAAAATAATTGGGGTGATATTATCATGTCCAAATAAATTGATGTATACATGTTTTGTTTAGTAAACAACATAATGATGACTTTAGGTTTGAATCAAATGTTTAATGCAAAGATCTATAGTGAGTGAAAGGGTCCTACATTTTTCCCTAATTACCCTCAGAAAAGGTGTTCTTTGCCTCTTCTTTCAAGTGATATTTAATTGAATATATATTTACATGGGTATCGGGATTACTTTTGAAATGATAATTTCAAATTGAATGCCATGACAATGCTTCAATTTATACATAAATGTAATTCAATATTATAGCTGTAAAGTACGGGAAATTAATTGTGACGTCATAATGGATCAGTTCAGCCATGCAACAGTTCATTCTGTGACCGGGTAAACAGTTTGACTGTTTCATGATTTGCAAAAACATTAAAGGGAATCAGGAAACAGTTCAAAATGCCAAATTACATGATGTTGACTTGAGCTGGACCATGACTTTAAAATGCTTCCTTTAATGAATATAATCTCTAAAGTTCTTAAAAATTTGTTAAATCCAAAGCTTGTTTAAATATTTCCTTGATGTTGACTTGAGTTGGACCATGACTTTCAAATGCTGCCTTTAATGAATATAATCTCTAAGGTTCTTAAAAATGTGTTAAATCCAAATCTTGTTTAAATATTTCCTTGAAAGGGAGGGAGGAAATGTGATGGTCTTGAATGGGATAAAAACTCAAACTTTCTGTACCAATGTTCTAATAACTGCATTTTCTGATCCAGACAGGGCAGCTGTGAGTGAATCTTCTGACTGGTACATTCCCTTCCTCTTTATAAAAGAATCTTTGCCCAGAATCCTGGTCATGGCATCAATTTAACTAAGGGGAAGATAATAGACCAGAATGTTTATCTGCATTCTCTTAACTCTAAACAGATGTTTTACTAAAAAGCAATATTTTCTGACAAGCTTAAACTTATTTGACTATCTCCCATAGTTAAGCATCTTTGTTACATAAGTCTTGCTTTTAATCCAAATATGTGAAACTTTTAACATTTATTTTTCAATGCTAACAGAAAGCCCCAAAAAAACTTTTGGGATAATACCGAAAAATAACTGGAAAGATAAGGTCAATATCAAGAGTCCAGATAGATAGTCCTTATTTTTGGCTTTTGAATGTCTTGAAATCGTTGCTGAGTTTTTTCCTTTGAAACTCAATGAGAAAAGATTGACTTGTGTAGTGGCTTTACAAAACAAATGTATATTCTCTTAACACGTTCTGTCTAATGTATGTATGTTTATCAGGGATTTCTTTTTTGGTGTAAATCTTGTGTGTCAATTCCTTCCCAACATAAATTTCTCTTATGCTAATTTACCTTGTCATCACAAGAAAAAAAATGGGTTCTGAAAGCAAAACAAACAAAATAATAACAAATGACCAAAAAAAAACAGAAAATAAAAAAACAAAACAATGAAAGAATACAATACACCACCATAATCTCTGCCAAAATATGGCTGAAATATTGCTGACTCAGTTGTAAAACAACAATAATGAATCAATCTATTGCTTAAATAAAGGTTTTGCTTTGTATTAGAGTGCTGTGATATTAAGTAATGCCAATTTGTTTCAATTTACAGAGAAAAACTAATGAGAGCATAAGCAGTGTTCTGCAGAAACTAAACTTTGAAGAATATGCTCTACAGTTCAGAGAATTTGCCTACTGTTGTGAGGTATTTTCTTAGAAACAATATTTATGCATCAAGATGCAAGTACTTTTTCTATACATAGAAAAAAAAATGCTTTCGATTAACTAAGACATGTTTGAGAAAGAATAAAAAGTACGCGTAACACCAGACTGTCTGCTTGTAAATTCTGAGGTTGACCTAAAGTAACACCAGGCAGTCTGCTTGTAAATTCTGAGGTTGACCTCAGTCCCTTGATTATCACTTTGACAATTTAATTTAAAAGTAGACAAGAATAATTTTGTTTAATTTCAAAAATTTAAGAGTTTTTTTGATTGCTATATATACTTAATAATGACATAATTTTTAAAATCAGTTTTACAGACTCCTTGTGAAGCATAAACTCCACAGAATCAGTGGGACTGTACAGAAACACGTATTTGGTATTCTGGAGCAAATGACAAACGCTGGTACGGAATTCTTATGCAGTTATTTTACTTGTACAAATTTATGTAAAATAAAAACACACTTAAAACAGTTTACATAAACACTTTACAGCACCATCAGATGCAGGGGACAAGTAATCAGCCCATTCTATTCTTCATTGATGTAATTATTATGTAAATGGAAAAAAAAACAAGTATGATTAAAAACTTTTCTCCATTAATTCAGTTTTTCAGGGCAAGCACCACAACACAACCGATATCTGTTCCTCATACCTGCATTTCTTAATATTGTTTTGTAGTTGTTCTTGAAAACTCTAAAAATGACAACAGAAATAATTATTATTTCATATATTTCTAGCCATATCAATGGAACTGTTTATACCGCCACTGAAACACACCCTTAAGGAAGTGTTGGACTGTATGAATGATAATGAACATGCGATGATAGGAAGTAAAGCTTTGAGGAGGAAACATCATGATCTCATCAGCAACTGTCTGGTCAGGATATCAAGGTTCCAGTATACACAGGTAAGATTGTCACAACAACTGTCTGGTCAGGGTATCAAGGTTCCAGTATACACAGGTAAGATTGTCACAACAACTGTCTGGTCAGAATATCAAGGTTCCAGTATACACAGGTATAGCATCTGTCTGGTCAGGATATCAAGGTTCCAGTATACACAGGTAAGATTGTCACAAGAACTGTCTGGTCAGGATATCAAGGTTCCAGTATTCACAGGTAAGATTGTCATAACATCTGTCTGGTCAGGATATCAAGGTTCCAGTATACACAGGTAAGATTGTCACAACAACTGTCTGGTCAGGATATCAAGGTTCCAGTATACACAGGTAAGATTGTCACAACAACTGTCTGGTCAGGATATCAAGGTTCCAGTATTCACGGGTAAGATTGTCACAACAACTGTCTGGTCAGGATATCAAGGTTCCAGTATATACAGGCAAGATTGTCACAACAACTGTCTGGTCAGGATATCAAGGTTCCAGTATTCAAGGGTAAGATTGTCACAACATATGTCTGGTCAGGATATCAAGGTTCCAGTATACACAGGTAAGATTGTCAACAACAACTGTCTGGTCAGGATATCAAGGTTCCAGTATACACAGGTAAGATTGTCACAACAACTGTCTGGTCAGAATATCAAGGTTCCAGTATACACAGGTAAGGTTGTCATCAGCAACTGTTTGGTCAGGATATCAAGGTTCAGTATACACAGGTAAGATTGTCATAACATCTGTCTGGTCAGGATATCAAGGTTCCAGTATACACAGGTAAGATTGTCACAACAACTGTCTGGTCAGGATATCAAGGTCCCAGTATACACAGGTAAGATTGTCACAACAACTGTCTGGTCAGGATATCAAGGTTCCAGTATACACAGGCAAGATTGTCATAACATCTGTCTGGTCAGGATATCAAGGTTCCAGTATTCAAGGGTAAGATTGTCACAACATATGTCTGGTCAGGATATCAAAGTTCCAGTATACACAGGCAAGATTGTCACAACAATTGTCTGGTCAGGATATCAAGGTTCCAGTATTCAAGGGTAAGATTGTCATAACATATGTCTGGTCAGGATATCAAGGTTCCAGTATACACAGGTAAGATTGTCAACAACAACTGTCTGGTCAGGATATCAAGGTTCCAGTATACACAGGTAAGATTGTCACAACAACTGTCTGGTCAGAATATCAAGGTTCCAGTATACACAGGTAAGGTTGTCATCAGCAACTGTCTGGTCAGGATATCAAGGTTCTAGTATACACAGGTAAGATTGTCAACAACAACTGTTTGGTCATAATATCAAGGTTCCATTATATAGAGGTAAAATTGTCAACAACAACTGTCTGGTCAGAATATCAAGGTTCCAGTATACACATGTAAAATAGTCAACAACAACTGTTTGGTCAGGATATCAAGGTTCCATTATACACAGGTAAGATTGTCACAACAATTTTCTGGTCAGAATAGCAAGGTTCTAGTGTACACAGGTAAATCTCTTTTGCTTTTTAGCTCATCTGAGCTGAAAGCTCAGGTGAGCTTTTCTGACCACCCGTTGTCCATCATCTGTCCATCTGTCTGTCCTCTGTTAAGTTTTCACATTTTCAACTTCTCAAGAACCACTGGGCCAATTTTAACCAAACTTAGTACAAAGCATCCTTGGGTAAAGGGGAGTTTAAATTGTTAAAATGAAGGGCCAAGCCCCCTTCAAAGGGGAGATAATCAAGAAAAGACAAAAATTGGATGGGGTCATAAAAAATTTCCTTCTCAAGAACCACTGGGCCAGAAAAGCTGAAACTTATGTGGAAGCATCCTGGGGTAGTGTAGATTCTAAATTGTTCAAATCATGACCCTCAGGGGTAGGGAGGGGCCACAATAGGGAATCCAAGTTTTACATTGAAATATGCAGAAAAAAACCTTAAAAATCTTCTTCTTAAGAACAATTGGGCCAGAAAGGCTGAAACTTATGTGGAAGCATCCTGGGGTAATTTAGATTCTAAATTGTTCAAATCATGACCCCCGAGGGTAGGGCGGGGCCACAATAGGGAATCCAAGTTTTACATTGAAATATGCAGAAAAAATCTTAAAAAATCTTCTTTTCAAGAACCACTGGGCCAGAAAAGTTGAAACTTATGTGGAAGCATCCTGAACTAGTGTAGATTCTAAATTGTTTAAATCATGACCCCCGGGGGTAGGGCGGGGCCACAATAGGGAATCCAAGTTTTACATTGAAATATATAAGAAAAATCTTTAAAAATCTTCTTCTCAAGAACCAATGGGCCAGAAAAGCTGAAACTTATATGGAAGCATCCTGGGATAGTGTAGATTCTAGATTGTTCAAATCATGACCCCTGGGGGTAGGGCGGGGTCACAATAGGGAATCCAAGTTTTACATTGAAATATATAGGAAAAATCTTTTAAAATCTTCTTAAGAACCACTGGGCCAGAAAAAACTGAAACTTATGTGGAAGCATTCTGGGGTAGTAGATTTTAAATTTTTCAAATCGTGACCCCTGGGGATAGGGCGGGACCACAATGAGTACTAAAGGGGGGAAATCAGGTGAAAAACAGCAAGGCCAAAGTTACTCAGGTGAGAGCGTTGTGACCCATGGGCCTCTTGTGTTGTCATTGCAATTTAACAACACAGTTTAAGTTTAACATCTTTTTATGATTACTAAATGCAGGCTTTAATTTATTTTATAAATTCTTAACCCTGATTTGTTACAGAGAGAAGATGATGGAAACCTCTGTCTCCTTGATTTACCCAAGGAGTGCCTCATCAGCATAATGAAGAAACTGGATCGACCCCGGGACATTGTTAATGTGGCCTTGACCTGTTCCACCCTGGAGGTCATTGCTATGGATAATGCAGTTTGGGAATCAATGTGTCTCTACCACTTCAATGACAAGGCCATGAGTGATTATATCAGCCATATTGAGTACTACAGTGTGGACTGGCTGGATGTCTTCAAATTTTGCAGCAAGTAAGTTTAAGTGGTCATGTGACTCAATGTTAAAATTGTCATGTGACTTATTGTTAAAGTGTTCATGTGACTTTTAGTTAATGTGGTCATATGACATAGTTAAAGTGGTCATGTGACTTATTGTAAGTTAAAAATAAAATATGCATAAAATATTACTCTGTGTTAAAAAAAACACTTTTGATCATAATTTTTTTGTGTCTAGGTACATTATATATTATAATTATTTGGAGTTTACACCATACATATTACCTATGAAAAGACTGTAACTTGTTTCAATGAATTATCATTCAAAGAGTTGTGATAGTGTAAAGAATCAATGTTCTGTACTCTGCCAGCATTTGCTGGAAACAGTTTGAGAAAACCTAAAAAAGAAAAAAAATAATTAATTAGATTTGAATTGAACAGGAAATTGAAAGTTTTGAAGAGGATTTATGGAGATGAGCTTGTGGTGTGTGACAACTGTAGAGGAGTGTTTTGGAGGGTAAGATATCATGTCTGTAATGAGATAATACATCATGTTACAAATCTTACAAATGATGATTTATAATACAGGAAAAAGAAAATCTTACTAGATAAAGTATACACATTGAATACTTGTACTTAAAGAATAATGATGATTTGGCATCCATGTTGTAAATGTATGTCTGGCTGGAAGTATTTTGATCATTATGATAAATTATGATGATAAATCTTATGAATATGAAATAAATAATTGGATTAAAAATGAAATGTAGCTGTTCCATGTATAGAAATTTTTTCTGTACTCTTAACATGTATTTGTTAAGCAGTGACTTTTGTATTGTCTTCCCAGGTGGTCGGCCATGACTGTTTAAACAAGGAAGGAATTCCATCAAACACCCTCCTGACTCCGTCCGATTTTCTAGATCTGCTAAATCTATAGCTATATGTGTGATACTTACATAAAGACTAACACCTGAGGAGGTGACAGGTGTATACATATCTCCTTGAAACTTTAAATATGGCAACACTGACTATGGTAACTTATTTTTTATTCATTTTGATTTTGCTGTATTTTTGCTTCTATGGTCTTTGCCTTGAATGATGTTATTAATATATAGACACTTTTGATAGAATAATTTTTGCATTTGTATTGAATTTTTAAGTTCACATAGTGAACACATTTTTGTCATTTTTTTATAATTGCAGAAATATTTATTGATTATTCACAATAGTTGGGTCAAAGGTGAAAGTTTTCATCCAATGAATTTAACACCTGTTTGTCTATATTTACATGTATACCATTTAACATAAAGATGTCCATTTTTTGAGCATTTCTAAATAAATTTTCTGAAAGTATATTTATACCTCCCTTCGAAGAAAGGAGGGCATATTGCTTTGCTGCTGTCTGTCGGTCGGTCTGTCTGTCAGTCCACCAACAGTTTCCATTCGTTTTCTTTGCAGAGGTTGCACATACTGAAATGAAATTTGATATACTGATTTATCATAAGAATATCTAGGTCAAGTTCTGTTTTGGGTATGATCGAGGTATTTTTGACAAAATTATGCCCCATGAACTTAGAAAAATTCCAATTATTTGCAGTTTCTGTTCATTTTCTTTGCAGAGGTTGCATATACTTAAAGGAAATTTAGTATACAGATTTATCATAAGAATATATAGGTCAAGGTCCGTTTTGGGTAAGATCGAGGTATTTTTGACAGAGATATGCTTCTTGGACTTAGAAAAATTCCAATTATTTGCAGTTTCCATTCATTTTCTTCGCAGAGGTTGCACATACTGAAATGAAATTTAATATACAGATTTATCATAAAAATATCTAGATCAAGTTCTGTTTTGGGTATGACCGAGCAATTTTTGACAGAGTTATGCCCCTTGGAATTATTTTTTTTTTTGGGGGGGGGGGGCATAAGTGTTTCACAAACATCTCTTGTTTATATTTGTTTCGATGTGTGTGAGATATATATATATATATATATTTTTATCAGACATTTTATTTTCATGGGACTTTCTGTATTATAGGTACAATGTACCAATTGTTAATTCATGTTTAACATTATCTAAGAAAAAAAAATTACAAAACTAAAAAATAAAATATGTTAACATTTATAAGCAGTCCATTGTGTAACAGCAGTTAACTGATTTGTACATATTGGCCACTGTAGTTGCGTTTGTTTTTGTTTGAGTTATAAAAAAATTTCAGTGCTTATTAGTTAATTTTAATGTATAAAAAAGATGTTATGACAAAATAATATACTCAAATTACTTGACTAATCAAGAACAAAAGGAGAAGTTTTGCAAGGTCAGTGTTATTTGTGTGTGTGTTGGGGGGATGCAATCATTTTAGGATATACATTTTTATGAAATGAAATGGCACAATCTGGGTATTTTTTGCCTGCTCTCCCCCTTTTTATGGCAACCAGTAAACCACCATGTTTTTCTTTTATAATTTCAACCTTTTCTCCTATTGAAGTAAACTTAAAACAAGTCCTACAGGGACATGTCATATGATATTAATTTATACTTAGAATTGATAATAAATGATATGATTAAGTGTAAGTGGACAATTCTGCATGATCCATAAATGGTATTCAGTGTATAATGAAAGGATATTGAACAATTTTGAATCATTTATCTAGTAATTATATATTTCAAGATAACAAAGAGAGTGAAATAAACCAAATTAACATGACTGATAACATATGAGAAGCTGGTCATTTTGCACCTTACAAGTTTTCAAAGAGTTACCTGCCCTTAATGAAAAGAAGAAAATTTTAATTTTGTCAAAATACCTGTGGTAATTGATTCATTTTATTTTACATTTTAATAAAGAGAGACTTTGTGCATATTTTCGCCAAAAGAGTTCAAATTTCTTCCTACAATTATCTTAATAAAACATGCGCTGCTCATAGATTCAAGATGGATTAATTGGACAATAGTCAAAATTTTCTCCATTCCTTTGGTGGAGTACCAGTATTTTTATTTGATAACACCTTCAAAATGCTACGATGAATGAAAAAAAAAAATCGGACTTCTTATTTATTAGGTACAAAATATGATCATTATGCATTGAATACTTATAATAAAACGTAGAGAAAGTACCTAATGATAACAAAGTCACTAAAGGTTAGGATAGGCACCAACTCAATTAAATCTATGACTGCATACAGCAGATTTATTGGACAAGAGATGATAAGGGACAACTAACAACTAAATTATATGACAAACAAGATCACTTCAGCTTTTCCATTGTCAACTTTTCTTATTTATGTAATAATATCCCGCTCTCACCTGCATATGGTGTTTACATTTCCCAACTTTTTTGATTCTCAAGAGCATGCTCCGAGTATGATCGGTTTTAAAATCGAGGCCAGCGTCTGACAGATAAGTTGATGTTACAGAGATTTCATAAACCTTGTATAAATTCAGCAATTCGTAAATACTATGGTCGTTATAATGATCTTATTAGCAAATATAGCTTATTATTGGCGGCATTTTGGCTGACGGTGTTTCATAAAATTGTTAAGCCTGAATTTGAAAAGGGACTGATCCGTCCACTAAATCAATACATAAGGCTCACGGCAGGCGTGACCGGTCAACAGGGGATGTTTTCTCCTCATAGACACCTGATCCCGCCTCTGGAATTTCCAGGGGTTCATGTTTTGTGCCCTGTTCACAGATTTGTATTGTTTATAGATTTTTTGAGATCCTCGTTTTTTATCTACACCTGTTCATTGTATGTGTAACGACTAAAGGTGACCCCCGGTCAATATTGCACAGACCTATATGTATTTCCAACAATTCTATATGCGTATCTATGTAAATAAAAAAAAATTTCAGTGCAGGGTTGGCACAATTCAGGTAATTTTAATACAGCAAACTAAAAGATATATAGTATTAAACGGATTCTTGTCTGTAATTTTGCAAATCCGTTTACAAGTCCAACGAGATCATTGAGGTCCGAGATCATTGATATCGGTGCCTGTATTTAGAAATCTACAGACACGTCTTTCCAGTCCTGGGTCTGTGTCTTCAATAACGTCAATTTCTAACACGGATCTGTAGGTCTTCTGATTTACTGCAAAAAGATTAAAGAGCTAAAGCCACGAACCATCAAATTTGGCCCTGTGTTTTTCACAAAAATAAAGTTTTGATTCAACAAGAGTCCTATACATTAAATGTTAGAGGACAACATACTTATTTTCCATACGTAACTTATTTTGTTAAATAATGCGCCATTAAGCACGTGCGACGGTTGGAACATGCGATGGTGTGATAAAAGCGTTAAAAAATGCCGATTTTTCGACAGATTTTTCCAAAGTTAGTTGTGGCCACAGTCAAGAACAACTTTTATACTTAACATAGATATAGATATTGCCGATACAAATCTTTATGCTTATCATCGTTGTTGTTCGTGGGTGTGGCCAATATGAAATTTGATTTTATATTTAAATTTTGATGCATCAAATAATCACTAATTTGTGAATCAATCGTTAACATTTAATTCATACAAAAATAAAAAATTATAAATTTCACAAAATATGCGAAAAAAGCAATTTATTGTTCGTTTAAAACGCTTATTGTGGAAAAAAAACCTCAAGAATAAACATTTTCTAAAACAAATATCTTGCAAAACATTTTTTTATTGTGAATACATGTAGGTCCATTATATATGACGTTACTAATAATACGTCAGTTATGACGTCATAAAGGCTCTAAACTATTTGGAATGTTGCTGAAAAGTTTTTATGCTCTGGGATGCTGTCATTATTTGTATGATTTAAGCCCAACTGGATGATACCATCAGATTATTAATTATCAGAAATTCACGCCAAATTGTTTTCTTTACTGCCCTTAACACACCCACCCCACCCCCACCCCCACAATGCCTGCTATTTTAAAGCTGTTATTAGACCTACAATTTTATATTTAAGCATTTTTTTAAATATATATTTATTTTTATTTATTTATTTTTGATATTCTTGCGACAAGTTTAATAATGTTTTGCGTGTTAACAGACATGACTCAAATTGTAAACAAATTAAAAGAGAATGTAGCAAAGATATCACGCTAGACCTCTGTGAAACAAACGAAATAATAAAAACATAGCTTGCTGTGCAAAGTGAAAATTTTAAAAAAAAAAAGGAATTAAAAAACGCATTTGGATAATCATCTACATTTCGGCTAAACAGAATCTAGGTCACGTTCGCGGGTTCATCAAGTGCAAGTGTTTTGACGAAACCCGATATCGATACACACATGCATATATACTATATATTCTTTTGTACCAGCATATATAAGCTATCGATATAATAACTGTATATTTTAAAAAATCCTCTGAGATGATTCTTATGCATGTAACACAAAAGGGTGAATTTCCATCCTGCTTCAAAAGCATATATATTTTTCAATATGTCTGCATTTAATAAATTCGAAGAGAGGATATTGATGATGCATGTGTACATATAACACATAAGTGATTTTGTCATCATTTGTGAAACATAATTCAGTTACACCCCAGTGAGCAAAAATGCATAAAAAATATCAGAGTATGTTTTATAAATCCAGTATAAAATGTTTATGCATCTTTTACTGTGCTCCAAATATTTTATTGTTACTATCACAATATAAATAATTTATGCTTCTGATCGTCAGATAGTTGGGGGTAGTGGTTTTAAATCTATTTAGACAAAATAAAGAATAGAAATAAATAAAATAAAGTACACTACATATAAATTACTCTTAAGTTTTTTTTATCTGCCACCATTTCTTTATTGCGACTGTAAGTATGCAGTTTTGTTTTATCTAAGAATTCAGCACCATGAAATCTCATAGAGAGAGAAAGAGAGAGAGAGATTCCTTAAAATGTTTTTAAAACTCAAAACAATAAACCAAGAATATATTCTTTGAAACGTATGGGCGTAAGTTGTTTATAGCTGGTTATTTATACCCAATGAAGAAGATTTTTTTTTTATAATACATGAAATAATAATATTTTTTAAATCTATTGTCAGCTTATTCTGGTATAGTACACTTGTACCTCCTTCCTCAGTATTAATTAATTATTAGTATCATGATATGTAAAAAGGACTTGGTGGGGGGTGGGGGGGGTGGGGGTGGGGGGTAGATCCAAGATTTCCAGTTGAGGTTGAAAAAAAGGGGGGGTCACAAACTAATGACAGCAAAACTTGCAATTAATGTAATTATTTAAAGTTTAATCCCATAAGTTGTCTTGAATTTAAATTTCTTTATTGTTTATTAATTGAAATCAATCTAGAAATTGAAAATTGCTTTATACTTTCCTACTCCTCTCATTTTTTTTTCTCAGTGAGAAGGGGAGGGGTGCCTGGTGCGGCGCCACCACTGTGTACAAAAACTATTTCATAAAGAAAACTGAAAAGAAAATATAGGGACAGCTCTTATTGTTTCTGAGGGTGTTACCTTTTTAAGCAAGATTTTGTTGAATAAAATCAATCTTGCGCTGATTGCAGGACAATAAGACAAGGATAAATGAACACCCGTACATGTCTTTCACTTATGACTGTGACCCACATCATGGCCGTAGGAACCGGAAGGGGGGTGATAATTTTGCCGATATATAGATTACTATCATAAACATAGATACTATATGCTTGTGCCCCTCAATAAAAACGTCTGATGACCTTTTTTTTTTTTTTTTTTTGCTTGTCAGGAAATTTTTGGTAGTGCCTCCTCAACTGTCAACTGAAAATGTATGGCTGAGCCCCCCCCCCCCCCCCCCCAAATGAATTTGCTTCCTACGGGCCTGCACATATCAGCAATATAAATGCAGCTCTACTCTTTTTATAAACCATAAAAACCATTATGTGCAATGAAATCGAAAGTAGGAATTTTACAC